CTTCATATAAATTTGAATTACATTGCATGTGTAATTAATTCGTAGGAGTTCAGCCTAAAAAAATACGGTATCAATCTATATATTAATACGTGAAGCAAAAACTTTGTACCCCTTTTTACGAAAATTGCGCGGACGGAGGAGTATGAAATTTCTCACACTTATAGAGAATATAGAGAAGGAGTGTACAATGCTATTTTTTTTTAAACAATGCATAAAAGATACATTAAATTAATAAAGAAAACATTACACACACTACATACCATGTATTTGACGCACACACATATGCATACTATTTATTGTCAAACTTTTGTTCTTGAAGTCTGTTGTCAAATTGAGATTAAATATTGTTTGTCTTTGTTAATATTTTTTATAGTGTAGTTCATGGCGAAATTTGTGATTATAGAAGTATAAAATACAATCATAATAGTGTACAAACTTACAATTTCAATTAATTATAGTCGAATCTCGACTACTGCGGGACCACTAGTTTTTATAAAAGGGTGGTACGTCGTAACTAACACGCACTTCCGATCGACACAAATGGGAAGTACTACTGCCTCAGCTATTTCTTCCGCGAAGCAATAATGCGTTGCGGCTTGAAAAGTGCAGCCGTTTTACTATAGAGGATTTGAACTCAATGTGAGTGACGGCATTTACGTTGATATGTCTGTGGGTTCCAGTAACTACATGGGTTCAATCGGGATGTTAGCTCGTTCACTCATCTAAGCAATAGGTATAAAGAGATACACACAAAAAAAAAATTGTTAATTTTAATTAAACGTATCCAATTCGAGACTCCATTGAATTCAAACTACATGCTCAGAATTATTAATTACGAAAACAATAAAACCCTGACATCCGACAAGCAAGGATTAGTGCTTTGAAGTGACCTAAATTATTCATAGACAGTTTTCTTTCATCCTACAAGCCGAGCATTTTTAATTCAGTTTATTAAACCTGTTTACATTGCTGACGCTCCACACATTTAACCATAATATCTATACTAACATATGTCTATAATAATATTATATAATAAATCTATACTAATATTATAAAGAGGAATGATTTGTTTGTTTGTTTGTATTGAATAGGCTCCGAAACTACTAAACCGATTTGAAATTCTTCCACTGTTTGGAAGCTACACTATTCCCGAGTGACATAGCCTATACCTAATCTTTTTTTTTAAAAATAGGGATCCTTACTAAAACTCCAATAATGTAACCCAAGGTGTAAAAAATATTACCTAAAATATTCTTTACATCGCGTGCCCTGCGAAAACTTTTGATGATAGAATAAATAATGTACTACGACTTTGTAGAACACATTATTATTTACAAAAAATATCGCGACAGCATATATCTAACTATTATAGTTATGCCGCAATAAGTGTTATTTTATTTATAAAAAATAAAACAATGTCAAATATCCTTGAAATTTTTGTTAAAGACTCGAGCGGAGCCGGAGCGGGCCGCTAGTTATTATATAATTTTATTTCGTACAGCAAACAATATTGTTTTTTATATGTGTAGTAAGAAATTTTATATAATCGTACATAATAATATGTATGAACACTCGTACACATGAACGTGGCCACGAACAAAGACATTCGTGACACCAGTTTGAACCAACTCATAAAAGCTTTGTAGCGTACATAACTTTGTAGTGAATAACTGGATAATCTTATTATTTTCTAAGCATAATAATATATATTATGTGTTATTGGTAAATTATTTTAATAGAAGATTAATGTTGATCATGCCTATCTGTCACAACTAGAGGTCCCGCAGTAGTCGAAATTCGACTATAATTAATTGGAATTGTAAGTTTGTACACTATTATGATTGTATTTTATACTTCTATAATCACAAATTTCGCCAAGACTACACTATAAAAAATATTAACAAAGACAAACAATATATTTTAATCTATTCTCAATTTGACAACAGACGTCAAGAACAAAAGCTTGACAATAAATTAAATAGTACGCATGCGTGTTGCGTCAAATACATGTTATGTAGTGTGTGTAATGTTTTCTTTATTGATTTAATGTGTCTTATAAGCATTATTTTAAAATATATTAGCATTGTGCACTTCTTCTCTATATTCTCTATAAGTGTGGAAAATTTCATACTCCTCCGTCCGCGCAATTTTCGTAAAAAGGGATACAAGGTTTTTGCTTCACGTATTAATATAAAGATTCATTTATTCTAATGTTAGTAAAGATCGAAGGGTGAAAAGCGGTGAAAGGTGAAGGGTTTAAGTGATATTTCACTTACTACGCGACGATTACCTTTGTAATTAAAGGTGCGTTTTAGTTGGTATTAACATCAACTGTTCGATGTTTTTTTAATTGAACTTCAATTAAGTTTAATCCATTGAGATAGCTGAGGAAGTTTTTTTTTTATCACGATATTATATTTTTACAAATTTTAAACATTAAATGGTTCTCCTGTAAAATTGCACAAACCTCGCTTAAGCCAAATAGCATTTCACCCCTCGATATAATAAGAACTACGTTTAACGTATTAATCTCGCTTTTTTATTGTTACTGTATTATTTCTGACGTTTCCGAAAAAATCACAGTTTTCGTGGACACGATTGTAGTAGATATATCTATATATTAATACGTGAAGCAAAAACTTTGTATCCCTTTTTACGAAAATTGCGGGGACGGAGGAGTATGAAATTTTCCACACTTATAGAGAATATAGAGAAGAAGTGCACAATGGTAATATTTTTTTTAAATAATGCATAAAAGATACATTAAATCAATAAAGAAAACATTACACACCCTACAGACCATATATTTGACGCACACACGCATTCATATAATTTATTGTCAAACTTTTGTTCTTGACGTCTGTTGTCAAATTGAGAACTGATTAAATATTGTTTGTCTTTGTTAATATTTTTATAGTGTAGTCTTGGCGAAATTTGTTATTATAGAAGTATAAAATACAATCATAATAGTGTACAAACTTACAATTCCAAATAATTATAGTCGAATTTCGACTACTGCGGGACCTCTAGTTATGAATAATTTGTGAATTTAATGCCCCGAGAAAATTCTTGTGACGATTCTTTTATGTCATTTCTACCATCGTACCGTCATCATTACATCTATCTAGTTATATTTCACCCCACAGACGTCCACTGCTGGACATAAGCGTTAAGACCATACCAAAATTAAATAGGTAGGCAGCAGCTTGGCTCTGCCCCTGGCATTGCTGAGGTCCATGGGCGACGGTAACCACTCACCATCAGGTGGGGCGTATGCTCATCTGCCTACAAGGGCAATAAAAAAAAATCGTTCGTGTGTTACATTATTGTTTTTAAATTACCTTTATATGTAATCGAATATACGACCAAACTGGAGATCGTGGTCATCAAAAGGGGGTACAGTCGCTACCTGTTGCTGACTCATCAAGCCGTGTTTCAAAAATGATAAGTCATAGAGCTTTATTAGCACCGTGAAGGGAAATTCATATTAGATCCGCATTGTACGTGGTAAAAAATAATAATGATCCGGAAACGCACTGTGGATGAACGCAGGCTTTAGGTAGTAGGGATATTTCGATGGTTGCCAGTACAGTTTAATAAGTAAAATAACAACACTTAATGTTAATCTAACGATTACTTAATTTAACGCACAAAACATGATTAAGCTCTGTTTGGAATTCACAATTCCAAGGACAAGCAAAGTTGAATAAGCCTTTGAAAATCCCCAGTAAGGGTCGAGAGAGGGCTTAATGTCTCTCAAACCTTTAGCACGTTCCTCAAATATTCAAAGGCCTAAGCAAACAATTTAAACGTCAAATGGTCCTCCCCGTCACGATATTTCGATTGAGGATTAACATATTATTATATCAAAGTTATTGGCCTAAAGTTTTGGCCCTATATATGGCATTACACAATTTGCAAGATGAGAATTTTCAATATTATAAACTGCAATGAGGGTACCATAATCCTGGTACTTGTTTATTTTTTTTTATTTTAACTGTAATTATTGCTATTTAATTAGCACAATTTTTTTTTTTTTTTTTTATTGCTTAGATGTGTGGACGAGCTCGCAGCCCACCTGGTGTTAAGTGGTTACTGGAGCCCATAGACATCCACGACGTAAATGCGCCGCCCACCTTGAGATATAGTTCTAAGGTCTCATTATAGTCACAACGGCTGCCCCACTCTTCAAACCGAAACGCATTACTGCTTCACGGCAGAAATAGGCGGGGCGGTGGTACCTACCCGTGCGGACTCACAAGAGGTCCTACCACCAGTGATTACGCAAATTATAATTTTGCGGGTATGATTTTTATTACACGATGTTATTCCTTCACCGTGGAAGTAAATCGTGAACATTTGTTGAGTACGTATTTCATTAGAAAAATTGGTTCCCGCCAGCGAGATTCGAACACCAGTGCATCGCTCGATACGAATGCACCGGACGTCTTATCCTTTAGGCCACGACGACTTCAAAGAACTAGTAGTACCATATTATGAGCTGGCTAGGCAAATATAGGTAGACCTTTTTACTTATATTGTTGATACTTTTTTTGAAGTTCTTATAACTTTATCTTTTGATTTAGCCTTACAGAACATTCTGTTTTTTTTTTCCAAATCCAGTTTACTGCTTCATCTCCAACTCATTATTCTCATTTTCGATGCTTCAGACATTTTACTATTTGTGATCTCGATCAAGATACAAGATATTTTAAAATTACATAAAGTAATTGCCCCATTTCAGACAATTAAACTAATTCAACGAGTAATCGTAATTCGTTTTAACGCCTGAAGTTCATTCACCGCAATCGAATAAAATCATTCGCATAGTTATACAACTGCAGCTGTAACTTTTTCAAACAGTAACTATCCAATTTTCATACTAATTAAATAAAGTTTTGGTGTTAATACATTGGACGACAGAAATAACAACGCTGATTACTTTAAAAATATATTATGCACCAGGTGTTAATCAACTAAATGTTAAAATAAAGACAGACCTGTTGATTGAGGCGAATACGCTGCCAGATCTCGAGTAGTGTTGAGATACAATCATGAATATTTAACGACTGCGAACATCCTTCATGACGATTACGCTAATCATTTAGTTAGATAACACACTTCAACCCGTTTACATGTTATTCGGAGGGCTATCGCGACAAGAACGCACAGTTTTGGAAGTTTTTTTGTGGTGTTTCCGTAGTTTGGAGTACGCGTGATGCGGATAGACGCGCGGTCGTACTTTCGGATCGCCCAAGCGTTGGGCGGGAACTGAAATGAAAGTGCTCGCACGTGAACAGCGGCTCAGAGACTGGGCAAGTCTGCGCGGCCTGTTGCTGGGTTACGTACAACAAACCGTCCAATAATGAAACGTCGATGTCGTCACAAATTCGTATTCATATCTAAGAAACTTTCGTCGGATACCCGCTTAATGGTTTCGCTAAAGCGAACTATGTTGTTCGACTTAATAATTTGTCGAAGTAGCTTTTTTTTTGGTAAATGTCGATTTAAGATTTAACGAATATTAAGAATTGCTGTATTATTGATAATCATAATATATCAACATATAATACGATATTAATTAATTAATCTAACTAATTCTATCTAACTAATCTAACTAATAAGGTTTGGAAAAAATTTAATTGCATAAATAAAATGCATGTAAACTTTTTGGAACAATTCTCTTAAAAAATAAAGAAGATTTCAAATTAAAAGCGAATCGTTTGACATTTGAATTCATTACAGAAGAAAGTAAGGACGCAAAAACTCAACTAAAATATTAAAAGTTTGACAACAAAGGCACATCAGGACACAGGCACGATTTAAGAGGAACCCACGAGGAGGAGTTAAAATGCCGTTAGTAAATAACCATTTTAAATAACTTCTTTGAAGTGGTTAAGACAGATTGTTCGAGGGGGCGTATAATTGCTGCACGTGTAAAGAATAGACGGATTTAGCCAACTGACATGTTAATAGGTAATTTACACATACATTGGATGAAAGAAACGTTCAATGTACACTCTAAATAATCATGTCTAAAATTTTGAAAACATAACGGTTTGCTTTAAAATATATAGAAGGGCTTTAATATCAGTATTCATATTTTCTGAAACAACGGATAGCCTTAAGTCTCATGCTAATATTGTTTAAAATTCAAACTCCAAACACGGACATAATATTTGGATAGATATTTAAAATGCTATGTTGTTTGAAGGAATGAAAAATAGCTAATTGAGTATTTAATTGAAAATTGTTATTTTGATGTATGATATTCTTTGGAACGTATTTCCAAACAGTTCCTAATCTAAGGAATGCCTTCAGGGGTCGGTGCTCAGCCCCCTTTTGTGGAATACCGGGTATGACTGAGTTCCACAGGCCCCGGACAGCGCCACCTGTCAATACCCATATCGTGGTTGGAAGCGTCCGTATCGGGGTCGGGGTGCAGTTGAAGTACCTCGGTATTATAGACAGTCGTTGGGCCTTCTGTGCTCACTTTCAGAACGGGGGGTGGTGAAATCAATGGCCCTATACGGAGCGCCCGCGGTCGAGGTCACCTTGGGTCCTGGAGGCGGAGGCGCTCGCCGCTGACTATCAGTGGCGGGCTGACCTTCGTGCCCGGGGCGTGGCGCGTCCCAGCCCCAGTGTGGTCAGAGTGCGGAGGGCCCAATCTTGACGGTCCGTGTTGGAGTCATGGTCCAGGCGGCTGGCCGATCCTTCAGCTGGTCGTAGGACTGTCAAGACGATTCAATCGGTCCTTGTGGATTGTGTGAATCGTAACAGAGGACGCCTCACTTTCCGGCTCATGCAGGTGCTTACTGGGCATGGTTGCTTCGTTGAGTTCCTGCACCGGATCAGTGCCGGGCCGACGACAGGGTGCCACCATTGTGGTTGTGACTTGGACACGGCTGAGCACACGCTCACGACATCGATGCTCGGTGTCGACGTGTCGTGGAAGGCGATGCTGTTTGGACGTAGGTTGTTCAGCGACAGGAGGTTTTAGTCAGTTCGACTCTGACATACCCCGCCCCCTAACCCCAGTGGAGGGCGGAAGTCCGGCTATTTCCTCCTGACAAAAAAATCTAAGGAATGCCTTACGACTTTTTTTTATTTTTTATTGATTATATGGATGGACGAGCTCACAGCCCACCTGGTGTTAAGTGGTTACTGGAACCCATAGACATCTACAACGTAAATGCGCCACCCACCTCGAGGTATAAGTTCTAAGGTCTCAGTATAGTTACAACGGCTACCCCACCCTTCGAACCGAAACGCATTACTGCTAGGACCCCGCTGTACAAAGTCATATTACATAATTGTTTATTACAATACCTATTGTTTATTACAATACCTACTGTTCCAATTGGTTGTTTATCGTACATAGTGATATAATAGCTGGCCACTTTGAGAATAAGGACTTTACAAGCATGATTTGAAACGATCTAAGAAATCGAGTTAGAGATGAATACTTATAATAATATTAATTGTCATCTTCGTCACAATATCAACTACAGAAAACTCATTCGATTCCCCCGTAAAATACATATTCAAAAGTGATCATAGGGATTGCTTAGGAAATTGTAACTGCCAACTAAATCTTTCCTACTAATTCCTTACTTTTCTTCCTTCCATGCGTTACTCCTTATTCATTGTTTTTTTTTTTTTTTTGAGAATTAATTGACAGCCCTGTATTGTGTAACGACTCCCGTACACTGTGCTCCACACCATATTTTTAGGGTTTTGGTTTTTATTTTACTTGACATAAATTTAATCACCTTTTTTCATGTTTCAGACCTGATGACGTGTTAGAGAGTAAGGAGAAAGCCAAGCTGTTTTTTACGGCGCATTGGAAAGGTTTCGTCTGTTTAATTGTGCCCATCATTCTGATACCATTGGTTACACCATTTCCAGGAGAGGTCAGCTGGGTTTATATAAGATTTTTAAAAGAACATTTACACAATTTCAAACAGTAAGAGCACCATAATATAATGAGGATTGTTTTAATTGTCACGCTTTATTTATCTAGTTGCTCACTTATATTTTCTAAGAAAAGGCAATCGTGATAATAATAACAATAATAATAGTTTTTTGGTTGAGTGATTACTGTTGGTCCAGAGGCCTTTTCAGTTTCACCAGGACAGGTCGGCGAGTAAGGACTCAGCCAGGAGAATAAACATGAAATTCTAGACAAATTATGAACTAATTAATCAGGGCATAAAAAAATTAAGAATTAGGCACCTCCAGCCTGCTTATTTTTAGAAAACAATTGGGCTTTTTAGCATTTTTTTTAGCATGTCCATAAACTCTTGTAACTAATAACGATAAGCCTGAGAGAAGAGTATAATTAGATAAAGAATAATTTGAAAAGGAGCAATTGATGATTTTAATCTCTTTTTATATAAACTGTACAGATAAAAAATTACAATTAAAAATCTACATTCATATTAGCAAAGACGATCCTGTGTTCATGAGTTTTCTTTCGTAAAATCTTTATATGTACTATACACATACCTATTTAGGAATATATACGTAATAAATTCCGATTTTTTAAGTAACAGGTTGGGGAAAAAGTTATTTCGCATTATAGTATGTATGGACTTGTAATAAAATCTCTTTGGCTATACTATTTGTATCTGGCTGGTTTTGGTATCATGAAAAGTTTAAATTTTAAAGCAGATAATTCCAAATTCAAATTAGGAAAATGTGTGATTTTTATTTATTTTTTGTACTGTCAAGATGAGTGAATCTAATGAAGAAATTCGGTACATTTTAAAATTTTATTACAAAAAACCTAAAAATGCAATGCAAGCCGCGAAAAAAATTTGCGATGTTTATGGACCTAGTGCAGTGTTTGTGAGAGTAGAACAAATTTGGTTTAAGCGTTTTCAATCCGGAAATTTTTATGTCAAAGATGCATGTCGCTCTGGTTGCCCTATTACGGATAAAACGGATACAATTTTTGTAAAAGTGGAGTAAGATCGGCATATCAGTAGTAGACGACGACGTAGCTGAAGAACTGGGAATTGACCACAAAACAGTTTTGGCGCATTTGAAAAAAACTGGGTACACAAAAAAGCTCGATATTTGGGTACCTCACGAGCTCACTGAAATAAACCTAATGAACCGTGTACTCATTTGTTATTCTTTATTACGACGTAATGAAACCGAACCATTTTTGAAAAAGCTGATAAATGGTGATGAAAGTGGATTACGTACGACAAGAACGTGCGAAAAAGGTGGTGGTCAAAGGGCAGTCAGGCTTCACAGACTATGGCGAAACCCGGGTTAACTCGCAACAAGGTGATGCTGTGTGTGTGGCGGGATTGGAAGGGCATTATTCATTATGAGCTGTTACCACCAGGCAGGACCATCAATTCTGAGCTCTGCAAACTGCGAACTGCGAATTGCGAAACAACTGATGAGGTTAAAGCAAGAAGTTGAGAGAAAGCAGCCGGAATTAATCAACAGAAGGGGTGTGGTTTTTCATCATGATAACGCTAGACCTCACACATCTTTAGCCACTCAGCAAAAATTAAGAGAGCTTGGCTTGGAGGTGTTAATGCATCCGCCGTATAGTCCTGATCTTGCACCTTCAGATTTCCACCTGTTTTGGTCTCTTCAGAATTCTTCTGGCAGTGTCAGGTTAACATCACGAGAGGACTGCTAGAACCAATTGTCGCGGTATTTTGATCAGAAGCCTCAAAATTTCTATAGCATGGGATCATGTCCCTACCTACAAGATGGCAAAAAGTTATCGAGCAAAATGGTACCTACATACTTTAGTTAAATGTAAATAAACTGTAATAAAAAATGTTGTGAATTTTCTGCGAAGAAGCTTTTTCCCCAACCTATTATAATCGTGACTATTATTAGAATAATATGAAAGCGATATAACATAATTTGGCATTAAAATTAAAGGAAATGTTTTTGATCTGTCTTTTAAATGTTCATTAGTCTCAAAAGAAAACTAGTTGATCAAAGCTAGCATTTATGGTATGAAATAGATAACTCGATCAATGCACAACTTATATCGGTTAATGCATTGAAGCTTGTTATTTATTAATCTTCATCTTCTTTCAGAAGCATCAATGGTGCGCTTACACATTATGTCTTATGGGTATTTATTGGGTGACGGAATGCATTCCTTTAGCTATAACGGCTTTTTTGCCGGTCATGATATTTCCGATGACAGGCGTCGCAACCACTAATGAAACGTGCAGAGCGTACATTAATGTAAGTCAATTTAGATTATTTAAAAAAGGTTTTCAATTATGTGTGACTTAATAAATAAAAAGGTATACAGACGAGACTAAACTATTACTCTTAATCGCGAAGAAGACGTCACGTGTATTGTTTTGAAAGTGAGCCCAAACGCTATTGAAACTTCCAGATCGTTTTCCAAAGTGCGTGGCTGAATTCACTTTAAAATATTGATTCCAGTAATCACTTCATGCGATTAGATCATGAGTTTTTATCATAAAAGTTACATATTACTAGCGTGCTAAAAATGTATCCAGAGTTAGTTTAAACTTATTTGTCAACCAATAAATATGACAATGTGTACTGACATTTGTTTGATCAGTATTTTTTAAATAAATTACACAATGTGTTCTCTCTCTATCTCACTCGTTTTAATTGGAATCGTAAATATCCAATTGCAAAAAAATGTTTCCGAGGTTTTTTTTTAAACAGTATTTTTTAGTTTTTTTGTGACATTCTTTTTTAGGATTCCATAATGATGTTTCTTGGAAGTATTATGTTAGCTTACGCTGTCGAGCAATGTGGCTTACACAAGCGTTTGGCTTATTGTGCAATCAAAGCAATTGGTTATTCTCATTACAAGTAAGATTTACAAAGTTTCTTATCAAACTTGACACTATCAAAAGAGATGCCTTTTGTATTTTTATTTTTCCGCGATTGCATCTTGCTCTTTAATTTCGGAAATAATGAAACATCTTGTAATCGGTATCGTTTCAGTCAATGCTTAGATTCTGATAATGATTCATCTTGCAATCATGAGCGAGAGTTTCTCCTATCTTTATCTTTATCTTTTTATTTCACTTTTAGGCTCCTTCTAGCTATGTGCATTGTAACTACTTTTGTATCGCTCTGGATATCAAACACTGCTACAACAACTATGATGGTGCCAATAAACTTTGCGATATTAAAAGTTTTTGAAGACGTGCGTACCATTTTAATAAGTTTAGTTTTTTAGTAAGTTAGTTTATTTCAACAAGTTTTAATAATGTTTATTGCTTGGTATTTAGTGTATTAACATTAAGGAAAATACAAATGTTTGGTCGTGGAACAAATGTTTGGTCGCGTAGTCTTGCATACTTCTGTCGCGAAGCAGGCGTACGAAGAGCATGAATTCGATCTGTAGGGTGAGACAGACGCTACAATATAGTATAATTATATGTATATACAACAGAAGTTAGACATTTACCTGAAGCTCAAGGTATTTAAGATTGAGATAACAATAAGCTCTGGTGGCCTTAAATTTAATCACACCAGGTCTTCACCAAGTAGACAGGAATAGATGACGGTGCGACCATACTGCCATGTTGCGCATCAGTGATATGTTTCATTTTTGACTATAAAATTAACATTAAAAAATCCATCCGAGAACTTGGGTAATTTCATAATTTATTATAATAAATATTACTCTTTTTCAGCAAAAAATATTGAATATGTTTGATACAAATGCTGAAGGTGAAAAAGTAGCAAGCGACCTAACAACGTGCTATTTTTGTGCTGCTACCTTTTCAGCTACGATAGGTAAAGATTCACTTTGATCTAAAAGTACAAATTGTAAACTTTCTTAGTTTTTCATTATTTGAATACAGTATTGGAGTAATTACATATTAAACTAATTTACAATTAATATTTAACGTTTTCTAATATCCGAACCGAACATAGACCAAGTGACATCGACGATATTACCCATCAAAAAACACGACTTAACTTGCCGCGCTACCTGCTAAAGTCAGAAATCATTTTGTACAATATTTTAATCAATATACTATAACCTGGTTCTAGGTTCCATAAATTATTGCTTCGTCCATGGTTCAAGAAGTCTTATCTTGAGAAATCTCTTTTTCAATTTCTTCATTAAATTTCTTTCTTTGAACGATATTCTTTCATAATTACAGATTTTAACGAATTCACATACAAAATGAAAATAAAAAACATTACACAATTAATTGTACGTTTACTTTTTCATTTCAGGAGGTATCGGCACTTTGGTGGGCACAGCTACTAATTTGGTTTTCAAAGGACTATTTATGACGTAATAAATGTTTATTCTCGTGATCCTGATCCGTAACGTAAAACGGAACATCTCATATGAAAGTCTGTTCAACATTTAATCAGTAGAGACTGGCTTATTAAGACTTGGATCTCCTCCAGCTAGTGTAGCTTTACTGTTACAGTATCTTCGCTTATTTTTTCGGCTCAACTTTAACTTACCTTACTAGTGCTCAGGCTTTTCGTAAGCTATCATGCATAGTGCCGAGCAAAAATACACGATCCGTGATGCTTGTTATTAGAAGCTATTTACATATTATTATGTACGTAACTGAAGACCAAAAATTTACTGATCGTTTTTCTAAATTTGAGATTTTCACCTCGTGTCTTTGTACTACTACTACTACTACTACTACTACTACTACTACGTACTAGCATTTGCGTTTAGAATGTTGTTGGCTCCAGTAATTGTTCAGTAGAAGGCAAGTCTCAGCCATTTACGTCAATTTATAAGTTATTGTAACTGCTCGGAAAAAGCCTGACTTCCAAGATGGCTTTTTTGTTACTACCTCGAATAAAATATCTTAAATAATAAAATATCTAAATTTCAGTGCGTATCCTACCGCTCCGGAGTATTTGTCATTTCCATTGTTCTCTGCTTTCTCAATACCAATGATGATACTACTAGAAGCCTCTACTTACTTATATTTGACTATTGTTTACTTCGGCTTCCTAAGGTATTTTATTTATTTATTTTTAACTGATTGAATTTAATTTGTTTTAAATATATCCTGTGCTTTTGCTCATACCTATATGGTTAGTATCTGTAGTTGAAATTGTTAAGCTATTTAAAAAAAAACAAAGGTTATTGGTAAATTGGTAAATTACACTTGATATAAACTCTCAAAATAGTCTGAAATCATTTGATTATACATACTTAATATTATGGGTACGAATATCATTGCTTGTTTACATTTCATAATTCACGCTCGTGACAGTGAGGTAAAAATAATTTGAAAATTCAGGCCAAATAGTGCTGCGGCTAAGGCTGCTCAAATTACGGAAAAAGCCAAGGAGGCTGCAAGAAATGCTATCGAGGAAGATTGCAAGAGAATTGGGACTATCACGTTTTGGGAAATCGTAAGATCGAAATTCATGTAACATTTTCAAAAATACATCAATATTGTCTATAGCAATTACAGTGTCCTGCAGTTGTACAGCTTTACGATTATTACATGACGTGGGCTTAGATATCTTGGAATAATACACTGATGTTTTTCAAAAATGCTTAGCTTAAGCGATGAGAAAGAGACTTTAATATTTTTTAATGCGTAGCAGTCCTAACATTGCCATCAGCAATAATCATCAGTACTAAGCATCAGCATCAGCATCAGTACTAAGAATCTTCTTTTTACTGTTTAAGTAGTATTTCCAAGGATTACTACTAAATAAAATTTTAATATCTATCGATAGCTATTAGTGGTAATTTAAATAAATAATGAAATTTATTCTATTATATATATAATAATAGAATAAATATAATAGAGGGCAGAAAGATCCTCGAGTGGAGACCACGTACTGGCAAACGCAGTGTGGGACGGCCACCTACCAGATGGACCGACGACCTGGTGAAAATTGCTGGGTCACGTTGGATGCAGGTGGCAACGGACCAGCCGCACTGGACATCAGTTGGAGAGGCCTATGTTCAGCAGTGGACAGCAGACAGGCTGAGATGATGATGATGATGATGATATAATAAGACCATCAATTAATTTCAGATGGTTGTGCTATTATTTGGAGGTGCCATGATATGTTTCTTCTGTCGATCTCCGCAAGTGTTTCCCGGATGGGGTGATAAGATTGCAGCACATTTTGGTGTGGAGAGCAAATTGTTCGTAATAATCATAATAATATTAATTTGTTACTTCATGCTTAACATTTTTAGCATATTTTTAATTTATTCGAAAATGTAACACTTGTTGAGTTTATTACATATTTTTCACACTAAATTTTATCACTTTGTAATTGGGAGTCGTTATGCATTAATATCACCAATTTTACTAAAAATACGTTGCCACGCTATATGTAGCTACATATATTGAACAGTAAGTAGTCGATTTTCTTTATTTCTTTCATTATGAATTTCAATAACTCTGAAAATCATTACAGCAGACAAATATTGATTACCAATCTACGTTATCAAAAACCATATTACTGGTTCCATTTCAGTACATATTTATTTTGAGCGTGTCTTTATTTAAAAAAAAACCCTATTTAAAAAATTACAATTAAAAGTAAAAATCTGTACAGATGTAGTGAGAAATTAATTTCGTTCTGGAAAACTCGATCTTTATCGGAATACGATGACACCCAAACTGTCAATGAATGATCGTAAGAAAAGAGTGCATTTTCATATCCATTATTATGGAACTTTATCGTTTAGTTTAAAATGTCAAAATGAATAATGTCATTGTATAATATAGAGATGTTACAACCATAACGATTATTTCTTATAACAGGATATTTACCAGTGTACTAAACGAAATGAGTTCCCGATATTTTTAAGTAATAATTGTTATGATCGTGACCATGTTAGTTTAAAATCATAATGATGTTACAACCACCTTCTGTAACTTTGAAAATACTCAGTTTTATTGTCATTAGTAAACAAAACATTATCTCCACTTTAAAACATAATTAAAAGTACAACAAAATAAAGCTTATTGGAAAATATTTACAATAGTAAAACAACGCCTGCCTAAATTTTATGTCATTGGCGTCCCTCTCGTACCTAAGTAAATAGCCTGCGTGTGAGAGGGATGCAATCGACATAAAAGGCTTTTATACTAAGGTCTTTAGTATACTTATAGGTACCTAACATTAAAATTTTACCTACTGCATATTTGGATCGATGTTTTCATTATTTTCCATTTCACAATCTGAGTAACAGTCACACTATCGTCAGATTCGTCAGTGCTTTCATTGAAGTTAATAACAATCCTTTGCTATTGCTATCAATTGCTATTTTTGAATTTGCTACTTTCCGATATGAAGTACAGGTAAATATTAAATATAATTCTTGGACTGGATTTTTTAACAGTTTTCGAGGTTTCGACATGGCTATACAACCTTTTTATAAATAATCTGAAAATATTATTATGATTAAAACAATAGTTAATATTTGGATTGCGTATCACCACTCTACTTAGTCTCGCCATAAATACTGTTACATTTAAAAATAAACATTGTGATTGCATTACACAAAGTAGGTATGGAGCCAAATGCAATTTTTAAAATTCTCCATACGCTTGGTATTATTAAAATGTTTGTGTACCGGGCTATTAATAGGTGCAATAAGACCTCCTCTCTTTGTGACAGAAAAAGATCTGGCCGTCCACGTAGTGTTCGTACGAAAAAGGTGGTCAAAGCAGTAAGGGAAAGAATTCGAAGAAATCCTGTCCGAACACAAAAGATTTTATCTCGGGAGATGAAGAAGAACCATGTCGCGTATTTTACAAGATGACTTAGGACTTGCAGCCTATAAAAGACGTACTGGTCATTTATTAACTGATAATTTAAAAGAGAATAGGGTGGTAAAATCGAAATAACTACTGAAGCGGTACGCAAAGGGAGGTCATAAAAAATTTTTGTTTACGGATGAGAAAATTTTTACAATTGAGCAACATTTTAACAAACAAAATGACCGTATTTATGCTCAAAGCTCTAAGGAAGCTTCCCAATTAGTCGACAGAGTGCAACGTGGGCATTTTCCGACTTCAGTGATAGTTTGGTGGGGTATTAGCTATGAAGGAGTGACTGAGCCATACTTTTGTGAAAAATGTATCAAAACATCGGCACAAGTGTATCAAGATACCATTCTTGAGAAGGTAGTGAAGCCCCTTAACAACACCATGTTCAATAATCAAGAATAGTCCTTCCAACACGACTCGGCGCCAGGTCATAAAGTTCGGTCTACGCAGTCTTGGTTGGAAACGAACGTTTCGGACTTCATTAGAGCTGAAGATTGGCCGTCGTCTAGTCCCGATTTTAATCCGCTGGATTATGATTTATGGTCAGTTTTAGAGAGTACGGCTTGCTCTAAACGCCATGATAATTTGGAGTCCCTAAAACAATCCGTACGATTGGCAGTGAAAATTTTCCCCATGAAAAGAGTGCGTGCTTCTATTGATAACTGGCCTCAACGTTTAAAGGACTGTATTGCAGCCAATGGAGACCACTTCGAATAAGATTTTTATACTTTAAATTATTTTATATTTATGTATTAAACTAACACACTGTAAAAGTAATAAATGTTATTTGCAATAGATTTTTTTTAATTTTTAATTGTAATAAAGCTCTTGAAAACCTTGAAGTGGGAATAGGAATCAACGGCAGGGTCGTTAACAACTTGCGTTATGCGGACGACACTATCCTTATTGCAGCATCGGAAGCCGATTTGCAAGCAATTGTGAATAAGGTTAATGAGTACAGCGAGGAAGCCGGGTTGTCGATAAACATAAGCAAGACCAAGTTCATGGTAGTCTCAAGAAACCCGGATTTGAGTTCAAGCGTATCTGTAGCTGAGTAACAACTAGAGCGGGTACGACAGTACAAATATTTAGATTTAGCAGCTGCTGCAGTTGATAATTATGGGCAAAGTGGACGGAAAGAGACGTGCTGGGCGAAGGAAAAAGTCATGGCTCCGGAATATCCGGGAGTGGACCGGTATTGCCTCCGTCGAACAGCTGTTCCGGCTGGCTGCTGACAGAAAGGAATACAGGAAGCTAACGGCTAACCTTCAGGATTGAAGAGGCACTGGAAGAAGAAGAAGAAGAATAGTATTTATGACCAGACTAAGTATATATGTGTTGGTCTGCTGATGCGACTTACCCCTACGGCTCTAAGATGGGTACTGAAGCTATTTGAGAGAGCACGATAAATACGAACTTTTCCGAAAAAATACGAAGGAAAATCTTTTCTCACTATATCTATACCGTGACTGTAAGCTGGGAATTAGGTACCCCACACTCTGCCTATTTCTGCCGTGAATACGTTTCGGTTTGAAACGTGGTGCAGCTGTTGTGCTGTAAAAGCTAAGAATTCGCAATTCGTGTTTCAAGGTGGATGACGGCATTTGCGTTGTTGACATACGTGCTCCAGTAACCAATTAGGACCAGGTGGACCATGAGCTCGTTCAGACATCTATGAAATCAAATAAACAAGAATTAATTTTTATTTTTCAGTGTTCGAGACTCGGCCCTAGCTATGCTTGTTACATTCCTTATGTTTCTACTTCCATCAACGCTCACTTTCTTTCAAAATTGGAAAGCAAAATGTGAGTTGTATTTGTTTTTTTTCCCCCCCTATTATATAATTATGATGGTATTTGAATGGCTTACGGTTTTGAAATTCTTGGTGCTATCAAAAACACATTCGTATACCTGTCACAGAAATCTTAAGTGACTTTCTATATATCGACGCTTGAAAGGCAAACGTGACTAAGCGACAATGCGACAAAGTTTACAGTAGACTAATTTAAAGTTGAAATACCTGAAAACAAAATTTATTTTAACGAATCTAGCTGTATTAGAATCTAGCTAGTAGCTGTAGGATTGAAACTATTTTAATAGACCTAGAAATATATTTTTTTTGCGCATCGAATATGGTTATTGCCTATCTTTTATGTACAAAACAGTTATTGTCGCTTAGTCACGTTTGCCTTTCAAGCGTCGATATGTACATAGTATGAAATTGAAATTTTCAAAAATATTTTTTATACCCATATTCGTTGTATTTGATTAGGTTCATTCATTAACGAACAGATAATAATAGATCATGATGCTGACTTTTTAACTCATTTTTTTTTCTATCTAATATTAAGATGTATTTTATAATGTTTAGTCCTTTCTTCGTGCTTATCATATTATAACTGAATTTAAAAAAACAATTTTAGTTCACGAGGATCTTCCAAAGTCTCGAGTTTCTTCAGTACTTGATTGGCCAGAACTAAGGGCTCACATGCCGTTTAGCTACATGTTCCTCTTGGGTAAAAGCTTTTATATAATTCTGAAGTATACACTTGCTTAAGATACAATTCTAAAATTTTATTTTTATAGGTGGCGGCTTTGCTCTTTCCATGGCAGCAAAATCATCGGGCTTAAACGAGAAAATTGGAAACTATCTTCAGGGGCTGAAAGTGCTGCCGAATTTCATAAATTTGCTTTTGATTATTATAGTCGTAGTTTTCGTCACGAACTTTGCATCTAACGTGGCCGTTTGTAATGTTTTCGCTCCTATTGCTATGCAACTGGTGAGGCTATCGGATAATTGTTTTGTTTTTGTAAACTTGGAACCGGTTCGAAAGTTTTTTTTTTTACTTTTAGGCTAAAGAAATAAACCAGAATCCATTGTGGTACGATATAGCGGCAGGCTTCGCGGCTTCGTACTGTTTCATGATCCCAGTTGGCACACCTGGTAATTTAATTGTGCAAAGTGCTGTGAATATGCCTATGCAGAAAATGGTAATAAATTATTAAGTACTAAATGAAACTTCGGTTTTGGAACTCTTCTGAACTCTGCCTGCTTAATGTCTCTTTTTTTAATACACAATGTAAAAAGTAATGAAATTAAACTATAGCCCATATGTCGAGAACTATGCACTGATCAAGTTTCTACTACTTACTGTTGCCACGCCTTTAAAAAAATATTTTATCAATTCTAATAATATTATTTAATATTGGAACAGTACTTTGTTTTTTATAATATTGCAGATAAAAGCAGGTTTCGGTCCCACTGTATCGACGGTCATCATATCTTGGTTGTGCATTTATTTCTGGGGTCCTGTTATTTGGCCGGACTTACATCAGATGCCAAAATGGATTAAAGATGCAAAACCTTAACTTGAAACCTTATTTTTTTATTCAGATTTCAATAACATTTATTTTAATTTCATTTTGTTTTATAACAAAAAAGAAATGTTTTATTTGTGTAAGACAAAAAATGTGCATTGATATTAAAGATCGGAGTTAACTCTCGGAACGTGTTTTTTTGTACTTGCCTTTGATATCTTATGATCCAAATGTACGTTACTTTCTTTGCGGCAGCGATGGGTAGAATGAAATTGCTGGATGAATTTAGCAGTGTGAAACAAATGTTAAATTACAGCCTAATGAATGTGCTAAAGAAATATACGTTTATAATCAAACCACGTATGGCATTTTCGTTGTTTTAGTCCAATCTATATATATATATAAATGAATTGCTGTTCGTTAGTCTCGCTGAAACTCGAGAACGGCTGGACCGATTTGGCTAATTTTGGTCTTGAATTATTTGTGGAAGTCCAGTTCTAAAAGGTAGATAAATATGAAAACGCTCGGAATTAAATAAAAATAACAATTTTGTTTTTCCTTTGATGTGTTCCCCGTCGGACGGATTCCTTTTGTTTGTTTTTAGTTTATTTTATACAAAAGTTTAGGTATTTTACTTATCGATTGAAGCACTACGAAGTCTGCCGGGTCAGCTAGTCTAATAATAAAAATGAAAGGCACCGTTATGACTCAACGTTTATGTCCCATTAACATTTATGTACATAGTTCCAGAAAATGTGGTTTTCTGTAATCTGAATCTTATTGAATATTGATTGGCATTTGTTCCTATTTGTATGGTATGCTAAAAGTTCAAAGGCCTTTCTACTTACAAAAATAAGTAGCAGGATGAAAGGATGACCATGTAAAGTTGTGTTATAGATTTATTTCTTGTGAATCTTCTAATTTCAACTTAGAAAATGGGATGCTACTTTCAAAAATTGTCCCACGCTCATACAGCTAAGCTTTTGTTGAGCCTGACTTCTTCTAATATCTAATATCTTGATATTAGATTCACCTGATGTCTTTGAGCTTGGACAAGTCTTAAAAATATTGTCATGGCTTAGTAATAGTTGCTGTTGCACGAGTCTATAAATTAAAGTCGTATTTTTTACCTGCCATTGTTTACGCTTTGGTGAGCGGGCTTATCCTGAGAGATTTCAGAATCTGCCCTGGCAAGTGCTTGGCTGAATCTACCACCAGATCGAAATCGCAATCCACTGACATCCGGTAAGAAACACGGTGGGCTGTATCATAAAAAAAATATTGCTTATATAGGTGGAGTAGCTCAAGGCCTAACTGTTACACATTTAAGCTAAAAAGTCTATCAGACTCTTTATTTCAACTTGGACGTTATGTAATGTACTTATTAAATATCAAAGTAAAGTTTTTTAATTTTTTTAAATCGCACAAATAATAATAAAACAATATCCTAATAGGTTCATAAAGGTCCATCTAGGTCAGAGGACTCTATGGCCTCTATTCTTATGAATGTATTTTGTTAAAATTAAAAATATATAAATTACATACAAACTTTTTTGATACAAAAAGTATAAATCAAATCAGTAACCAAATTCGAAATTTCAAAATTATGTCGCGTCGTTATTATTTTAATGGCGCATTTTTTGATGGGTGACATAATAATATATTCCTGACCTTAAATATATTATTGAGTGTGATTTAAACACCAAAAATGGGCAAGGCAACTCCAAAATCCGACGCAAAAGGTAAAAGTGGAAAAAATAAAGATGATGAAGGGAAAGGGATTGTTGATACGTGAGTAAAATTTTGTTTGTACAAAAAGTAATGCAAATTATTGAGTTTTAATTTTCGAGGATACAGTGAAATCATTTGTTATAACGAAGAATAAAAACAGAAAAGACATTTTAAAACAAGATTTAACTACTATGCTTAGTTAAAATGACAAAAATATTCTTAGATATCTACTCCTCTATTTGTTCCACATGTTCTTAAGCCCTTCTAATACAACATTTCATAGCTGTAAGCACATTTAGATAGCGCCATAACAGAAAACGATGTGAATTTAATTATTTCGTTATGATAAAGCCTCAAAGATATTTTTTTTAAACAAATACACGTCGATTGAGACTTCGACTCCGACCTCTTGTAGATAACAGAATTCACGTTGTATGTTTCTATAACTGCTCAATATGAGATGCTCCATGAGTTCGGCTACCCATATACACTATAACACAATAGTTTAAGAAACTGGTATATGTACGTAATGGCAAATTGAGATATTATTATGAAACTCAAGCTTCCACGGTGAAGTAATAACATCGTGTAATTAAAATCAAACCCGGCAAAATTATAATTTGCGTAATTACTGGTGGTAGGACCTCTTGTGAGTCCGCACGGGTAGGTACCACCACCCCGCCTATTTCTGCCGTGAAGCAGTAATGCGTTTCGGTTTGAAGGGCGGAGTAACTACGTTGTAACTATACTGAGGCCTTAGAACTTATATCTCAAGGTGGGTGGCGCATTTACCTTGTAAATGTCTATGGGTCCAGTAACCACTTAACAGCAGGTGGGCTGTGAGCTCGTCTACCGAAAAGCAAAAAAAAAAAACAATTTTTATATTGCATGCAATGAGAATAATTCAAAAAGTCACGCTTATGCACTTCTTACACACCACTCTTATCTGTTTCTTCGTTAACCTAGTTCCCTTCACAATTCGATGTATCAGGACCATTTTATAAAACTAAATTAAATTACATAGTGTTATTTTGGTATCAGTTAACATTGATTGTTTCAGAGATTGCGTTTTCTTGGGTGGGTATCTTAATAAAATAGGAGTCACGAAAGTTTGAAATATCCAAAAGTAATATGTATTTGGCTATAAGACTGCAAATTTTTGGTTATTTTTATAACATTCTCCCAAAAACTTTCCTGTGCTTTGCAAAGAGTTCTTAATTTAATAATATTGTAAGGAGCAATTGGTGTTCCTTTTCAAAGAGCCCTGTAATAGCAATTGGAACGGAAACAGTCCCCTAATCAATTTGTTTTTTAACTTTACAATACCTATCTAATGTAATTAATTTTGTTTCAGAATCAAGTCGTTTTTGTAAGTATTTTTTTTTGTTTCCATATTATGATTTAAATAGAAAAAAGAAATTTAAATAAGCAGTTACATTTCTTGGTGAAGTAAATTAATATAATTCTAAACCTAAATAAACATTATGTAGCCGTGGAAAAGACCCTAGAACTCCGGTTAAGGGTGTCGCACCTAGAATTAAAAACGTGGTGCTGATGCACTTTAGAGGACTCTTTGGGATGCTGGTACCGATATGTGCTTTAACGTGGCAGGGAAAAAAAGGAGTGGTAAGTGATTGATTTTGTTACATATTTACGAATACCATATCTGTCGTATTGATGTAAGCTGAATTGGCAAGAAGTCTAAAAATCACCTACCACCTACTAGATGGACCGACGACCTAGTAAAAAGCGCTGGGTCTCGTTGGATGCAGGTGGCAATGGACCGGTCGCACTGGAAATCTATTGGAGAGGCCTATGTTCAGCAGTGGATGGCGATAGGCTGAAATGATGATGATGATGATGATGATGAATTGGCAAATAAGTTCATTACTTAGCTATGCCCACGTTTTGATGTTTTGTAATTTTACTTTATTTTTCTGATTTTGAGCTTTTATATTTTGTGATGTACTTGGTGTTATAAATGTTGTAATTATTTATGTAAATACGTGAACAGCCGTCAAAGATTTTTTTTGTTATTGGAGCGTTATTTATAGGCTTGAGAGATGCCTATTAGTGAGGTTTTTGGTAAGTTTAGACTATGACCTGGTTTTATTTGACAAAATGTTTTTTTTTATAATATGATATATTTTATACACTGCTCTTCTTTTTAAGAATTCGATCACAGTTCAATGCATGTGGCTTTGGATGTTGTGGTTCTTTCTGCTGCAGCCAGTGGCCATACCCGCAACTGGATTGATTCCAATTTTCATTCTTCCAATGGCTGGTGTTATGCCCACTATTGAGACTTGTGTCTGCTATATGAATGTGAGTTTATATTTTTATCAATAAAAAAGACAGCCTATGTTTTACTATCATAATTTAATTCCTTTACTTTTACGTCAGTGTGACTGTTTAACTTTTCCAGAAATATATATTTTCCTATTCATCACTAAAACGATCTGACATTGTGTTAATCATATGGAACACATTCCGGATATATTTTCTACATCTAAATAAATTTGAATCATGCTAATTCACATTACGTCACCTATTTGCGTGCCTTGTAACTTTGCGTAAATTTGCGTAGTAATATTGCTGCTCCTACATATATCGTTACTTTTTTTATTGCTTAGATGGGTGGATGAGCTCACAGCCCACCTGGTGTTAAGTGGTTACTGAGGCCCACATACATCTACAACGTAAATGCCACCCAGCTTGAGATATAAGTTCTAAGGTCTCAATATAGTTACAACGGCTGTCCCATCCTTGAAATCGAAACGCATTACTGCTTCACGACAGAAATAGGCAAGGTGGTGGTACCTACCACCAATATAAAAAACACAACATATTACATTTTATAATTCAAATAAAACATGACTATGTACCAAAAATCTCTGTTTAATTTTTGTATATTTATTTTAAAGGAAAATATAGTGCTATTTATACTAACGGGAATGTTGCTTTTATTGCTCAACAATTCGGGGGTGGATCGTCGTATAGCGCTTAAGCTTTTGTGTTCCGGAGACGCTTGTCAGTTTTCCGGTAAAAGGTTTGTAAGATTATCATTTTAAACTATTTTTCTACGTTTACGTTATCAATATAATTGGTAAGTTACAATTTGTTTTCAGATTGGTATTTAAATGTAGCACAGCGGCTTTCTTCTTATCCATGTTTAGTAGCAGATTGATTACTTCATCCATGATTACGCAAATGGTAACGCCTGCTCTTATGGATTTACAGGTACGTTCGATTTGATGTCGTGTTTGGATTTTCAGTTTCACGCATTCACATAAAACATTTATAAAGAACATTATGAGGTTAATGATATCCCAAAGCACTGGTTACACACGAGTATCCAGCTTAGGCTTTCAAAAAACCGTAATTGAATTTTTCTAACCAGATTTTTGTATGCCTTACCTGTAAAACTTTTTTAGTCTGCAACATCAAGATATAGAGACAGCGAGCCTGATTATGATGAAATGAGGTACATCATTAACAACGCCATTCAAACCGCTTCAGCTATCGGTAACTATCGAATATCACAATTCAATTTTACTTCAGTTTCTAAACGTTACTTCCCAATAGAGTAAAGTAGACTCTGTACAACATACTACATCCATGTCTTGGTTCAATCCAAAATATCTGCTTAAGAACAATCTGCTGTTAGTTTATTGTATTTTAATATTAAGTACAAGATAACTGGTGTTAGGGTATCATATGAGCCTACACCACTACTATATTTGTTACTGCCGCAAACGGATGTGTACTTCGCTATAAAAATGCGACAGGTATTTAAGCAGTATTATTTGGACTTTGATCTTATGTATGTAAGATTGGTAAGAACGGAACGTATGAAAAGAGTGTGGAACGGAGCGTTAAGATGTGAGTGAGAGAAAACGAAAAGAAAGGGAAAAGAGAATGACACAAAATGACAGAGAAAAGGAAGATGGCGAAGACGATTAAAAAATGTGTAAGGCGTAATAAAAGTGTTAATCTTTAATTATTATTATAACAGAAGATTTTGGAACAGTGGAAGTTTTATTTTATACGCTGCGATCCCTATTCTACATGTATATTATTCGATCTCTGTTCTTCTTCTCCTTCTCAGATTATATATATTTACCTATATAGATAGACAATTGGCATTTTGTATCTAAGAGTAATTGTTCTTTCCGCGTAGGTCTTAGTTCCGACACCTGTTTGACCCTTAATAATGAATATCGGAACCTAATATAACACGGTTTGTTCATAAAATTTACTGGTGGTAGGATCTCTTGTGAGTCCGCGCGGGTAGGTATCACCACCCTGCCTATTTCTGCCGTGAAGCAGTAATGCGTTTCGGTTTGAAGGGTGGGGCAGCCGTTGTAACTATAGTGAGACCTTAGAACTTATATCTCAAGGTGGGTGGCGCATTTACGGTTGTAGATGTCTATGGGCTTCAGTAACCACCAAACACCAGATGGGCTGTGAACTCGTCCACCCATCTAAGCTTCACGTCATTACGGATCCTCCTGATCCATTAACGGTGCTTTTAGGTGCACCACAAGCACCGGTCACCGTCCTCGTCGAACCCGTCGCTTGCGACGAAGGGCTCGACGAGCGAACTAACCCATAGACACAGCCCACTGAGTTTCTCGCCGGATCTTCTCAGTGGGTCGCGTTTCCGATCCGGTGGTAGATTTTGCGAAGCACTGCTCTTGCTAGGGTCAGTGTTAGCAACTCTCCGGTTGAGCCCCGCGAGCTCACCTACAAACGTTAGGGTGAAGCTGAAATAGCCTCTCAAGGCTATCAGCATAGGTAGGAAAAAAAAAACATCTAAGCAATAAATAATAATAATAATTTTAATTTCACTTTACGCTAATTACTTCACAGGTAGCACGGCTATCCTGCATTCGGCGTATGCTACTCTTTGCTTTAAAGCAATCTGGTGCCAGTAAGATTCCGAATTACAATTCTAGACTATTGTGTGAATGATTTCAATTGATGTGCGATTACATTTGCTGAATTCCATTTTCAGGAGTGCACCGAAAGGAACGGAATATCCGGATATTTTCAATTACATGCAATATTCTGCTTTTGCGTTTCCGGTTGCTCTGCTAATTCACATACTAAATTTTGCATACCACATGATGCTTATCAATAGGTAATTGAATTTATTACAAAATGCTGGATATAGGTACGTGAGATTCAATAATTATGTGTACCAGTGTTCGAATATTTATTGAAATTCGACAATAATCACTAAAACCTTACAATTTAGATTAAATTTACTTATAATATTTTATTTTTTGTTTTTGTAAAGAAACAAAAAAAACCTCAATTTTTTATAGCATAGCACCACAGCACTAAAATCTCATTATAGCTACTAAGCAAACAAAAAAAAAGACCATTGGTTAACAAATAAAGTAAAAGATACTGAACAGTTTTTCTCTTTACATGTTTACATAATTATTTAGTTTGGGGGCTCTTCCACTGATACATGTCTGTCGGGATATTTATTAGGGGGCATGAGTAAGCAAATCCAATCGCTTTTAGCTGTTGATACTACGATACATTCCTTAATTTGTTTCTTGTGTCCAAATTCTTCCTGCTTTTACCGCTAATTTATTGGTACATTTGCTTGTGGTAAGGTGTATTATAGCCTGGCACGTATATGTAATACATTTTTGGTCTATAGCATTTGAACTTATGGTCCGCATATGTCAGGAGGATTATTCAATAGTATTGAACTCTTAATTTTCTTTTCGCATTAAAAGCGTACAATTTCCAAAAATATTCGAAATTGAGTTAATATGCGGAATGATTTGGTATCACCAGTATTTTTCTCATAAATACTGTCAAAAGAGCTTAAATTAGTGTTAGTTTTTTTAGTTTACCTATGTTTTGACTACTATTAAAAAACTAATACATAATTTTATCTTACTTTAAAAGACAGATAATGCAACTGGTCAAAAAAAAAAAAAATTAATGTTGCCAAGATGATTAATATAAAAAATATGACATGTTAACACTCTCCTGTAAATTTTAGTAAGTTTTGAGATTATACAGTTTTAATGCGAGAAGACGTTATGTCTTATAAAATCTATAGGTTTGAATCATTTTCCTATTTCAAAACTATTTGTATTGATTTCATTAAAATGTACAGGTTTGTGGGAAAGCCGATGAGTTCGAACAGTATGAATGAACTACGAAAATCTCTTTTGAAACATAAAAGTTCATTGCCTCCATCAGTCACAGTTCATGAAAAGGTAAATATCGAATAAATTTCAATTATGTATGACTGAATTAGTTTAGCCACGAATTAATTTAAAAGACCTCATTTAAAAAAAAATATGAAGAATTTCAAATCAATCAATTTCAAGTGACCTAGCTATTTTTATATCAATAGAAGATCAATGATGTTAATGCCTATCTGTCACAATTAAAAAAAATATATAGTTTCAAAGTACAATGATGTTGTGTGTGTGTGTGTACAATGTGAAGAAGAATGAACTTTTACATTAAGAAAATCATAATCCCAAGATTATGCTGTAAATGTAGTTTTTATTGTGTCTACGACTCGCGAAGATCTAAATTTTAATTAAAAGATAATCGCTTAAATACTTTTACATGTAGGTACTACAAATTCCGAACATTGAACCCGTCGATTTACGGAGAGCAAAAATGATTCTACTATTTCTTTTTCAATAATTAATTAATTCATTATATAATTATTAATATTTGTATAATATCTTAGAATATTTTTTTTTCAGCTCACGGTATTTTTTTCGATTTTGGCTCTGATAGTATTTTTCTTCCGGTGGAGTAGCTTTCTCGAGCACATGGGCTGGGCTGCTTTTAGTAAAGAAAAAGGGGCACCAGAAATACCGGGGTAAAAATATCTTATTAATTGTATTTAGAAAAACCGGTTTGTCGTATTAAATTTGTATCTTTTATAATTACTAGCAGAACACATTAACGGTAAGATAAAAATTATTGTTGAAATGTTTATATGCGGTGCTGCCTAAATATTTTTATTATTTATCATTATTTATTGTAGATTTCACATAAATCTATGTATAAATTGACAATCATATAAACATTTTATTAACAGACTACACGTTGTTAAATAGTTGATACGTCATAAGGAAAATTTTTAAGAAGCTTGATGCATTAGTGTATTTCAGAATACAGCAGTTTTAGATCTATGAGCAACCGTCAAATTTGAGTGATATTTGTATATACTATATATTTGAGTGATATATGTAATAGACTGCTTACATCACCTACCGTAATAATAATACACATAATAATATTACGTATGTTCTCTACGAGTCACCAAACGATGAACATAAATTAAAAAAAAATTCTCTGTTGTACCTTACGAAACATGATATTATTATACCTATACTTTAGGCTTTTATGATGTGTTTTTACAGCAATATTTCAAAACGTTGAATATATTAAAGTTAATGAATACTCATCAAACAAACATGATGATGTGGGGAGTGGTAATTAAAAAAAATACATACAAATTGAATTTGTTTAGCCTTTCTGGACTTAACGATAGCTTTTATTTGGATCCGGTCGTATATATTGACAATAAGCAAGTTTATTTTAACTGGCATTTAAGTAGAACAAAATGACTTGATTTTGAATTTAATTTATATCCCACGGCTAATTATTATTAAAGGTTATATTATATTTTCCATTTTCTTATAACAATTATCAGATGATCTTATAGTTGTCGTTTTCAGCTTGAAAGACGCTACTGTTGCTGCCTTATTTGTAATTGCTTTACATATACTACCGAAAAGCTTTGGATTTGTTAAGCTCTTAATTGCTGAAAGTAAGTACAATCTGAATACTAAAATTCAACAGTGTAGTTTAGTTATGTAGCAGTAAGTAGCCGCTGTGGTATTGCTGATGTCCATGAACCACAGTGACTGCTTACCATCAGGTGGGTCGTGTAAAATATACTAGAGGTCCCGCAGTAGTCGAAATTCGACTATAATTAATTGGAATTGTAAGTTTACACTATTATGATTGTATTTTATACTTCTATAATCACAAATTTCGCCAAGACTACACTAAAGACAATATTTAATCTCAATTTGACAACAGACGTCAAGAACAAAAGTTTGACAATAAATAGTGTGCATGCGTGTGTGCGTCAAATACATGGTATGTAGTGTGCGTAATGTTTTCTTTATTGATTTAATGTACATATCTTTTATGCATTATTTTTAAACAATATTAGCATTGTGCACTTCTTCTCTATATTCTCTATATGTGTGGAAAATTTCATACTCCTCCGTCCGCGCAATTTTCGTAAAAAGGGATACAAATTTTTTGCTTCACGTATTATTAAAATATGTTATATTACCTAATATTATCAGTTATATAATTTTTAATTCATTCGCATTAGTACCGATTTTTTTTGTAAATCATGGATAGCTTGTTAATAATTTACAATTTTTTTAGAGAGAAGTGAACTGCCACCGAACAAACCAGAATCAGCCATACTTTGGTGGCGATTTGTCGATAAAAATTTGAACTACGGCTACATGTTTCTCATTGGTAAGAACATTGTTTTACTGCGTTTTTTTTTTTCTCATGATTTGAAACTACGTTTATTTTTAAATGTATAATTAAAAAAATTACCTTAAAATACACTGGGTATTAACTATAAGGATTACCTCATAGTAAATACCTTCGAGGACACCTCTATAGATACCTCGAAACGTGACGTTATCGATATGCGTTTCGGTTTGAGGGGCGGGCAGCCTAGCCGTTGTACTTAAAAAAAAAAACGGTGACTTACAACTCAGGACTAATTACACAAATTATAATTTTGCACGTTTTACTTTTATTATGCGATGTTATTCATTCATCGTGGAAGTGAATCGTGAGCATTTGTTATGTACGAATTTCATTTATCGAGATCGAGACACCATGGTATCGTTCGATAGGAAGGCACCGGGCGTCTTTTGCTATAGGCCAAGACGACTTCGTTGCAAACTGAGACTTAGAACTCATGTCTCAAGATCGGTGTTGGCATTTACGTGATTGATACTTATGGGCTCCAGTAACTATTTAACACCAAGTGGGCCGTTAGTTCGTCCATCCATCTAACCAAAAAACCCATTTAGTAATTATCAATAGTCAAGCTATCAGTAATTATCTCATTATGTAATTAAATATTAGCTTATATCTGCTATGGGAAAATAGGAATTATTAGCCGATGCCCTTTATTTTGGTCTTTCAAACTCATTATTAGATGTCATAACGTTTAAGATTTTAGTCTTCGCTATTGCAATTTCGTCCAAACTTATATTGTTTTAGGGTCTGGTGTTGCTTTACAAGCAGCAATTCAAGATACTGGATTAGACAAGATTATAGGTGCACATTTTGGCAAAGCTTTTACGGGTCGATCCTGGAATACATCATTGTTCCTTGTATGTTTAGTGACTGTCATATTTGCGAATGTCATGACTGGTGTAGCTGCCTGTGTTTCTTTTCTACCATTTGTTTTGAGTATGGTACGTTTTTGTAGACTTTTTATAATATTATTGAGTCAATTTTTGTGAAAAATATTTTGTTACAAATTGATTACTCGTTACACATTACTCGGTCACTGTAAACTTTCATCAAAAAATTAGGTAATAACAACGATTTGGTTGACTAAACCACAATTAAAAAAATGGGCCATTATCCACTAGATCAAGGCACCGCAGGGCCGATCGTTGTTGCGAGCGTTAGGAAGGCCTGTGTCTAATAGTGGACATCTGTAGGCTGATATATAGATATGGAGATTGTTAGTAAAAAGTGAGATAATTTAAAGCTGCTGATTAATTTTTTTAATTAATTGGGGTAACTTCAATACAGAGATTGAGAGACGCATACGACTGGGTTGGTCGGCATTTGGGAAATTCCGTGCAATCCTCACCTCGCAAATTCCTCAATGCCTGAAGACAAAAGTCTTTAACCAGTGCATTCTCCCCGCTATGACCTACGGCGCGGAAACCTGGACACTGACGGCAGGGCTGGCCCATAAGTTAAGAGTCGCACAGCGGGCGATGGAGAGAGCTATGCTAGGTATTTCTCTAAGGGACAAAATCCGGAACGAAGAAATTTGACGGAGAACGAAAGTCGACGACATAGCTCTCAAAGCTAGCAGGCTGAAGTGGCAATGGGCCGGTCACATCTGTCGAGCCAGCGACGCCAGGTGGGGGAGGAAGGTTCTCGAATGGAGGCCACGGATGGGTACAAGGAGCATGGGGCGTCCTCCAACCAGGTGGACTGACGACTTAGTGCGCACGGCGGGAAGTCGTTGGATGCGGAAAGCGGAGGACCGCATTATGTGGAAGGCATTGGGGAAGGCCTATGTCCAGCAGTGGGCAGATAAAGGCTGATGATGATGATGATGATGATTATTATATTATTATTTTTTTGGAAAATGAATAATAATAATAATACATATAAAATCAGCTCAACCCACAATACAGCACTTACTACCAAACCTCATAAACATTGATACCTGAATATTAATTACCACTGTTGTTCTTCACCACGTTGGTCTTCAAAGCATTCAAATGAATAAATGTGTTTATGCCAGAGATTTAATGCTTCTGTTAATCTACATTGTAGTAGTATAAATAATAAAATGATTTTAAAATTTTCCTTCAGGCTGTTGAACCTAAGGCAAAGGTTTTCCGGAGCCATCCATGGCCGTCTAAGGTGTATGTTGGTGCGCTAGGCGTTGGTGTTGGTTGTTCGTTTGGTTACATGTTCCCTTTTATGTATACACCTGCTTACTTTTGTCACTACACTGGGAAAGTTCCAGTTAAAAAAATGGTATGTATTGATCTCGTATTCTTGATATATTAAATTAATAAATAAGGAGCCACGCGTAGCGCCTCCGTACAGTGCGTCATAGCTAGCTAACTATATAAAAGGATAAATGTTTATCACCAAAACAATATTTAAAATTAATATAATTTCTAATAAGGATGTAAAATTTTAAACAGCGATATTAGATAGTTTATTTCACCACATTACAATTACGGTAATGTGGGTTACCTGTGTAACTATGTAGTAACACTACAAACACATGTTACAAAATACATAATTTTGATAAAATTTCTTAACATTGACGAAGCTTATGTCCGAAGTAAAAAGTTCTTTATGAGTAAGTATCATGACAATTTTAATGATGCAGCAAAAGCTTAAAACTTAACAGAGCTTAACCAAACTATACAATTATCTATCAAATATAATATTTTACTTATAAATATGAAGAGTTAATAATATTTTAATAATATTTTTATTTTAATAATATTTCAATGAAGAGTTAATAATATTTTAAGTGTATGTAAATTTTTACCAAGCTAATTTTACCAAGTAATGGGATTCTTGACAGTGTAATCTATTTTGTAACGAAATCATGTCTGTTTATTTTTTTCTTTCTTTTTTAGGCTAAATATTCTATAGGTAGTGTTATTATCAGTCTGATCGTGTTATGGTTGGCATTGGTCTATTGGGCACCGTATTTATGGGATCCCACTGACAAGGGTATAACGCCTGTAGCCACGGCCACTGTTTCTCCATCTGGAAATGGAACTACCCACGCAGGAGCAGGACCAGCAGCAAAGCCGACACCACCTCCTCCGGGACCAGCAAAACCGCCAGCGAAGAAACCGTAAACGTTATGAAAAACAAACGGACGGAAAAGGTTTTTTTTTGTTGCAATTTCATTGTTCTTATATATAAAGGACTGATAGTTTAAACCATTTATTGAATTTGTTCAAAGTCACATCTTCAGTATTTTAATGCCCATAAAACGTTTGTCAAAAAGCTACTTGCCCATGTGAACTACTTTTTATCAGTTATTTCGTCAATATGTTCGAGAAGAACGGGATATTTATTTTTAGTTTAACTGACAAGTTTCATTTTGTAATCGCATTGTAACTAAGGTTTTAAATAAATATTCAGTATTACAAATTGTTTTTTTTTTATTTATTTCGCACTAGGAACCTATCCATGAAGGATATTCATGTAAATCTGGCCATATAACTGGAGCCCAAAAGTAAATAGCAAACCAAGTGAGGATTAAAGTTGAAATCGTTGGTCCTATGCCTGCTTTCATCTAAAAGAAGATAAATTTTCAACTTAATATATTTTAACTTTATGATAGCTACTAATATCATTTAAACACGGTGGAATATAAGTTACATGGTTATAGTATGGACACATTTCTGTATAGACTAATAATATCTAACTGCAGAAACAATACGTCTGAGAGAATTTTTCCTGGTTACAGTCGTACTTCATTATTTAAAATTTATTATTGCACATTTAACGCCTAACCCAATATCTCACAAATATTTACTGATAATATTTGTGAGATACAATCTTAATTATTTTAAAGTACATATAACATAAAAATTCAATTCAATCACCAAACGAGCTGGGTCTAAATTATACCAAGCTGTAGAATAATGCCTACCATTTTAGAAGTAGGAATATCTGCAGCACCTTGAACTATCAGATTACCCGGAGTTCCAACAGGTAAACAAAAGCAATAAGATGCAGAAAACCCAGCTGCTATGTTATACCAGAGCGGATTAACCTTTACTTGCTTGGCCTGAAATGAAAAATATTTTACCATTATTTTTTATATAGTTCGTAAAAGTTGATGATTGAGTCAGGTGCAAAACTGGAAAGTAAACTGCTATTTATTTTAGAGCTAAATACCATTTTTTTTGTTTCTATCGTATAGTAAACTAAAACGTGCTATAAAAAATAAAGGCTTCAAATTAATAGAGAATTGATCCTAAAAATCAACACTTCAATTAAACTAATACCGCAGCAAATGTTTATTAAACCTGATTACTGTTTAAAAATTGTGATGAGTACATTTAGAAATGTATTTATTACTGATGCTAGGGCACCTTTTGCGTCTGCACACTTCCTCTCTCTGTCACGAAGTAGCAATGCTTTTTGTTTTCAACAGTTAGACAGCCGTTATGATTAGAATTATGATTTAGACCCCATGTCTTACGACATCACGTACCTAGTGATTGTCTATGAGCTTCGGTAACCATTTAATGCCGCGTTAGCTGTCAGCTCCTTCGCTCAACTAAGAAGAAAAGTGTGTTTTCTCTGTGATAGTCGTACCAACTGCATAGCTATTGGAGCCAAAACATTGCAGACAACAACGTTTGAAGCAAAATTGGTAATGAAAATAGTAAAAGTAATGATAAGAAAAATTATGAATGAATTTGGTAGTGTCTTTAAGTTTTGCAAGACATCTCCGATTCGGCCGTTAAGGTCTGAATACTCTTCTTTCGCTGCTTCAGAGAGAGCAAATCCACCTCCTGCAATGTAATGTAATCTTAATATTGCTCCGCTTATAATTGTTTTTTTACTGAACAGTCTTATTCAAATTAGTTACGTCGTCTTACCTAAAAGAAACATAAAACTGTATGGCAATGTATCATTTACTATTTTCCAGTTTAATACAGACGATATAGGTGCCTTTGTTAAATCCCCGTAAGCTAAAATTAATAAAAGTCCATAATTAATTACTTGATGTTTTAAGGGGATCTTAGTTATAGATGAAAAGTAGCTTACATTTTGCCCTAAAGTTCTTAAAAATATTTAAATTTGATGGGAGAAGAAGCATCAAAGTGCAAACTAGCATAGCAGGAACAGAATCTCCAATGCTAAAATTAATAAGTATTTTCCATTAAAAGGGTATTTCACTTGTAATGAATTTTACCAATAATAAAAAGCGTTAAAATGTTATTAGTTGATAACTACTCTAGTATTATTGATGTTATTTATTTGTTATAACTATAATAATATTTTGTTTATTTATTCTGAACGATGCAACAGGCGTTATTCAATACAATTAAGACTTCAAGCTGATCTGCCAATATGGTGAGCAGCATTTACGTTATAAAGTATATTATGGACTCATATTACCAGTTAGCAACATACGGACGGTGAAGTTGGATGAACCATTCAAGAAACACAATGTATATTAGATAATCATTTCAAATAATTTTATATAGATAATATTTCAAATCTAACACGATGAGTTTTATTAATATTACTTACAATTTGTTATTTTTAATCCCGAAATAACTGATGATTTTATCGCCCCAACCTTGAAAAATTTGAGGGGATCTTGCAAAGAATAATACCATTGCTCCACCAAATAATATGATTACCATCTGTAACAATAATGACAAATTACAAAACTTACTAAAACTATGTAAGTAACAGTCAATAAACGAATCGTAAATTTTGAGACTGCACTGTAGTTGGTGTAGTACTGAACAATAAACTTGTATGCAGCAACAGATGTTTATTTATTTATATAAAAATTTCAGAAAGCTATTATACTTTACTACAAATTTTACTTACATATTCCCAAAATGTAACTTTTCCTAAATTTACCCAATCGTTATCAACGGTCTTCTTTGCTGCTTCGATACTTTCTGGGGTGATCACAGAATCTTTAGCAGCTTGGCTATTGGATCTGAAAATTTGGTATTCTTTTATATTTACAGTTTGTAAGATATTCTACATTTTTATAGATTTAGCTAGTTAATTAAAATTTTGCAAAGACTGATATCTCAAATAGCACTTACCTTAAAAATCCGAAGTACACGATAATCAAATAAAAATACATAGCTATCTCCATAAGTAACATATATGGTACAGAAAACGCAGAAAACTTTGGGAAAGATAAATATTCTGGGGCCAGTGGAAATGCTCTGAAAAATGAAGAGACGGTAAACGAAAACTACTCATTGGAATATATTTATTTATATATCTAGATGGATATTTGTGATAATATCCGTAATATAAGCCTTTAAATTAAATATTTCTAATAATAATATTTGATTATTTCAAATTACAATTTGAATTATTCAATTCCAATCAAATTCAATTAAAATTTAGAACTTTACTGTACAATATTTACTATTAGCCTAAACTACAATGTATGATTAGAACATTTTTATTATTATATCTCTTTAATATTATAAATGTGACATGATACTGCTTATGTCGAAATTTCCTAAGGTTCCAGCGTTATGAACAAATTTTTATTGTAAAAACTATTACGAATGTTTGAAATTTGAATGGATTTTTTTATGGTACCTTGAAAACAGTCCTTTAAACACCAGATTAGTAGCTGTTCCTACTAAAGTTCCAATACCACCTATAACAAAAGAAATGCTTCTTCTGATTTACTAAATACAATAGATAAAGAGGTAAATTACTAAACAAACATACAGGTGTAATCAGTACAAATCCATTTTAGCCGCTATGATTATTTATATGGTTAACAAGTAGAAGGGCTTGCCACAAACTTGCTGAAGATGTAAGCTATAGGACAAATAATTACTAAGCAGTAAACTTTTCAATAAATGGCACCATTATCAAAAATATAGATGCTTATTAGGATCACGAACTAGATAATTATTTATGTTTTAATTTTTGCGTTAGTATGTGTGTTAGTATTTTAGTTGTTCGTCGTGTTTGCAGTATTAATAAAGATGCATTTTACTTATTACTTACCTATAGTCGCAGAAAATGTGATAGCGCAAAAATAGCATGATGACAGATCTGTCGCAACCATATCACCGTTCTTATTAGGTTCATACATTTTTAAAGAGTTTTGCTAAAAGTATATAAATTTTGATTGAGAACTTTATATAGCAAAAACATGTCTGTTATTCTTTGTAATTAATTATGCTTACGTCTTCAAAAACTTTTAATAAGGCACTATTGATTGGGACCATCATCGTTGTAGCAGCTGTGTTAGTTATCCACATCGAGACAAACATAGTAATGAATGAAATTGCAAATAACAATCTGTAAAGTTTGGAATCGCTTTGTGTAAAATAACACAGAAGTAATAAAATGAATGCATACTTACTGTATAATTCTGTACTAAATGTGATTACTACTTGCGCAAGAAAACAGTTATTGGCCTAAGTAATTACATAATTTTTGCACAGTTATTTTAAATCTTGAACACTATAAGTATATTTATTATTATATACAAAATATCGATACTTGAAAAGGATTTGTTTTAAAAATAAAACAATAACTTTATATTGCAAAATGTACTTGTAATGCGATAAACCAATAGCTCTTATGGTCCAAAGTGCCAATCGTTTATGAAGTCCAGATTGCTCGACAGCAGCAGCCAGCATCATGCTCCCAAGAAACATTATAATAGTGTCCTATGAAAAATACGTTATTTAGAGCAAAAAAAGTTAGTAATCAGTATCAGAATGTACAAAAACGGCCTGCAAGATCTGTTCATTAAGGTTTTGATCCTTTTAATTTTTATCTCATTTCTGTTGAGAGAAAGCCTTTGGATTACTTTTTACAACATATTGGTTCGTTTCGGAGGTTGCATTAGAAATGGTTGCATCATCTCCATTTTATTGCTAACCAATAGTAAAACTGTTTTCTTTAAAATGAAGCGCCTTGCCTTGCGTCCATTGCGTTTTTTCAAGTTCCTTCTTTCTTAAGCTCTGGAAAGAACTTCATTCTTGGTTAATTCCAGATGCCATAGCAGATCTTGCTTCAAACGAAATTTGAAGACATTTCAAGACAGACAAGATTACATTCGTAACATTGCCGCTGTCCATAATTTACGGTCAACAATTTTCATGAAGTGAACTCGACCTTATGTGACACTGTTGGCAATTGAACTATGTTTGTGTAGATTAAGGATTTAATTTACTGGAACCATTATTTCAATGACACCCAATTAACTATTGTCAATGCAGAGTAGTTATATTATGTTATAAATAGTTATTGGCAATTTTAAAATGTTGCTTACATTCATATAACAGCGGCATGTTTTAGCAGTATCCATGACGCCAAACATAGGAAAGATAAGAATCGGCAAAAATGATGTCACCGGTAGTGGGATACATTCTGTTACCCAAAATATAGCCATCAACATCAGGGTGTATGCGCACCATTGATATTTCTAAGAATCATAATTAAATTTCTTAAACGTTTTAAAATTTCACACATTTTTTCAACACTTTAAACAACTCCTACAAAAGCTTGTTTTTAACAGAAAACCTATATAACTGCATCGTCTGTCAATTATTTGTTTGTATAAATATAACGTGAAAATTACAAAAAAAAAATGTTGTATAATCTTTATAGCAAACTCGATGTGTTTATGTTTCCTATAGACGCTGAAACTTCTGAAACGATTTCGAAGAAAACTAGCCTAGTAAATGATTCTGTCCTCCGTGACTTCGAAAACTGCGATTTATTCAAAACGACGAAAATATTATATTACAGTAAAAAGACACGAGGTTGAAGCACAAAATTACTTTTAATAATGTCTATGACTCACAAAGACCGACGAAAATACTACGATCCTGTGAAGTTTGGTTGTGTCCGTAGTCAAATCAAAGATGGGCAAGAAAGACCAGTCGAGTTTGACTAGTAACTTCTAAGCATCGATCACTGTTCAGCGAAATTTGGCCAGCTCGCCATCTATTGTCAGCACTAACGTCAGCACAGTTGATGTCACTTAAAACTACCGAGACTACTACCCCAGCATCAGTGAAAAATTTTTTTAGTCGCTTACATAATTATTTGTACTATTTTATACATTTTTGAAGAACAGGTGTAGAATCTTGTTCAGAAAGATGGTAAAAACATTACCTCTGGTGGAAACGGTGTCAATATCGGTATCAATATTAGTGGCACTATAATCGTAATTAAGCCACGCCATGATGAAGTAAAGAACAGAATAGCCTTTTCTGAGATAGTAACTGGCGGGTCATCGTATCTGTCAAAATTATGGTTATTAGTCCTTTATAATTTATTTATTTATTTATTTATGTACACACAGAAAACAAGACACAGTACAGAGTAATAGGAAAATTATGTACAAAGGCACTGCTTATTTCTTTGAGAAATCTCTTCCAGCAGACCTGCGAGAGGATAAAATTTATTATTTTGATCTAAAGGAAATCTTCACATTGTGATTATTTTGGGAACCCTGGATCTTGATTACCCTAGCTGCTCTCGTGATAGACAATAGTGCGTAGATTGAATAATGAAAACAACATTCTTAGAATTTATCCACCTAATAAGATGAGTTCGACTTGCTTTTACCGAACAAAATTAAAGCCATTGAATAGAAATTCCTTTTATTGATACAATTATTTACTTACAGAGCTTCACTATCTTCATCTGTGTTTTTTATGCTAACATCGCTATCTTTCGCAGTATTATCCATTGCGAAATCAGATCTTTTTCACTCCGTATAATAAAGACCTGGTAAATATTTTGTTTAAACTTTTGCCACTTATTCAAGTAGGCTCTGGTGAAATCAAGGGATTTACTTTTTTATTAAAAAAAAGAGTTTACTTTCACATGATCTCAAAATAACAAATAGACAAATGGCAGTGTTTATTTTAAGGAATCATAACAATTAAAGATCATCAACACAATGCACGTATTACGTTCTTAAATTCGAAAGACACTTTCAACCGTAGTTCATGTTACTACATAAATCCAATACAATCAGTAGTAGCACACGAACGTAATTGTCACTTATCACTTCTCGATATGCTTTATGATGGGGGTGGGTAACCCGACATCTCGGATCAAACGGGCGTTGTCCTACGATAGGGGTCGGTGCCAACAGCGCGGTCGTGTACACCACGATCAAGACGCATAGCCTGTTGATCGTCCAAGCCATTGTTATTTCTTGCACCAACTCCAAAAGTCACTAGTTCTTCCTCCTGAGAAGGCGGTGGCTCTACAGCAGAGGTATCCAAAAATCTCCCGCTGGCTACAGACGCTTGAGATTGGAATATCGATACGCTTCGCAACCCACTTAAAGTATTGGCACTTTGCGGTACTTCTTTAAATTCTTCGAAATAATTATCGCAGGCTGTCGGTCTAGGTGCTGCAGGGAACCCGTATAAGGTAGACGACGATAAGTCCTTCAGCGATGCTGAACTTAAATTAGTTCTTCTATTCTTATGTATAGAACAGTGAGGGAGCTCGTCACCATCGAATATGAAGCGGCGGCCTTCACGCGGTGTAGCCGCTGACGAACCCGACGGAGGATACGTGTCCCTCTTCATCATGCGTCTTTCTAAAATTGTAGAGTCACGTTCTCTGAATTCTGAGAATGCATACTCTCTATCCCAAGCACGACAATCAGCCTTTGCCTTTTCCGTGAGCTCTGTTACCCAGTCTTTTTGATACCACTGAAGAAACAAAAATATCGCTGATGTCCCAGCCAACTCTGCTGCGACAAAACCGCCAATGTATAGCCCGAACGAATACCCGTAGCTGTAGGACATTCTGGGTGCATCGAAGAATGTCATGTATCGTAGTTTGTGTCCTAATTGCGATTTAAAAACCGATATGTACATAATTATTCCGGTCAACATTATTAAACCTGAAATAAATGAGAAATTATAAGAATATAAGAGTCGCGTGTTCAGAGATTTGACCATACGATTATGAGCACTTACCTGAAATGATGAACATAACTCCGGCAATGAAGGTGCAAAGCCTACGTCCCTTAACACAGTGCCCGAGGACGCAACACAACGCGCCCACAGCTTGCGTGAATACCGCAAGCAACAAAGGAGCAGCCGAGCGGGTCACCACATCTGAAATGGTTTTTAAAAGGATTCTTTTATTTTTCACCAAGGGCAAAGAGATCTTACCCAGTTAATATTAACTATTCAATATAACTAAAAGGCTTATAATATAACAAACATAGGTAAATTTAAATTAAAACTTACATGGAATTGCATTTGTCGAATCGCTGGTGTCAGGCATGTACTGAGATAATGGGAAGTACGGGATATCCTTACAGCGGAATATTGTACTCCCAGCTGAAATGAAAATATAAAATGATTACTTAAAACATAAGACATAAAATCCAATTACAGGGGAACCGACATTTTGTTGAATCGATTTCTATTGTTTAAACAACGATCTAAGATATTATAATATAAACACAGAATTGAATGTTCATTAATATGATTATGATATGGATATGGATTGTATAGACTAAATTTCTTTGTTATATAAACAGCAACAAGCAAAATAGATCAGACTAAAGACAATCTGGGACGTGTAAAACAATGGTATAGTTGCTTTTAATGAAGGAAACAGACTCGCAACAAATAGACGGACAGCTGCGGACGCAAGCCTTACAATACGCAATAGAAGTGGAAAGAGAATAGATCGTGAGCACAATGAATTTCCACGCTTCGCTCACAGGGGAAACGTCGAAGCATTGTAACCGAGCAACACATATAAGTTCTGTCCCCATTGTAAAAGTTACTACCAGCGATCCAACTATAGGTAGGTACGGACCCACAAATCGTAAAACATGTTGATTCAGTTTTTTAATGGCTTGAATTTTATGGAATATATCGTTCGATGCCGCTGTATCGTAAAATGAAAGGCGTAGTCGAATCATTCATTTATTTCATTCATACTAAGAAAACAAAATATATTTTAATTCATGCGATTGATTTCAATCTTATGAATTGTAATATATTTGCTTCTGATGCTTGTACCGCTCTAACAGTTTCATATAAATAAATAGTAGTACGGTGGGCTGAAAACTCTTACTGAATAAACTTAAAATCAATACTCTGGTATGTACACTAAGGAAAAACATTTAAAAACTCGTCATTTTCTCGGTGTTGGCCTAGTTGTAATCCACACTAAAAAACTTATTTTAAATAACATGACGTAAAAGAAGTTTTTTATTAGTTGTAAACTAAAAAACTTGGTTACTTATAATCTTGACAAGATAATTTTAAAACACGCATAGGATTATAGATCTATAATAGGATTTGATTCCTTTTTATATGATACTCTGTAAGTCAGAGTCAAAGTTGTCATTAATAAGATGTGATCAAAGTGGGTTTGGGCGTAAGTTTTTGTTTATCTCGTGTTAAACGATAACTAGAATAGATCACAAGGATAATGAGAATGCTGCGTACGTTGAGAAATGAGGTTGATGCCCTAATTGTATTGTATTACGACTCCCCCGCCCTACAAACAGGAACGTATGACTGCTTCGTGATAGAAATATGTAGGTGATACTTTCCTGTCTACGTACGCTGTGACATTTATAAATTAAGCCTTGAACTAAACGTAATAGAAGTGGTTTTTGTTAAATCAAGTGCAGTTGTAGTTGTTTTGCCTTTTGAACCAATTGTATTTTTAATACGCTTTTATTAGCTTCAGACGCAGGTATGTATGTATGTTTGTAACGGAATCTTTGAATATGATTTTGACACCCTTCAAAACGTCGGATTAACTAAAAATTTGGTATACTTATTAAGGACCGATGACAATTCAAAATTTAAAAAATAATTGAAAAAAAATAATTGAAAAAATTGAAATTCAACTAAAAAATAAATAATAGTTAAAAAAAAACTAACAAAATACGCTTTTATAGAAAATCCAACTAGAGTGCTTTTCAGGATATTATCAAAATAACCCTTCTACTCAATTTAATTAAATTACAATATTTATAACTACTTATACCACGCTTTTTTACAATAAAATCATTTTTTCTTACACTATTTTTAATTCAAATTTATTCAAATTTATTTTCTATTTTGGTTGGATTTTCTATAAAAGCGAATTTTGTTAGTTTTTTTAAACTATTATTTATTTTATATTTTTTTTGGTAGAAAGAACGAAACGTCAACAGATTTTATTGGCACACAATTAATATTGAAAAATATGAAACAAAACATATACTTACGGTCAGTATGGCAAAGTCGCCAGAGTCCAGAAACTGTTTGTTTCGCAACCAAATCGTATTTGCCTGTTCCGTTGAAGGAAGGGTTGAGCATATTTTCTTGTGTGTGGAGCCAGTTGTTCGTCGATACCGCAACGAGGACCGCTACAACCGCAGTCCCAGCCGAGAGAGGAGTGAGTAGCCAGAGGCAGGCCACTGAGGAATCTATCTGGGCGACGAGTGTTGGAGAAGGGGGTGTGGGTCTGGAATGTATTCGAAAAAAATTATCTAGCATGGTCGAATTGTAATTCGAAATGAATCAATCAAAAGAAGAGAACCAAAAAGAGCCAATAAAGAACCAAAAAGAATAGCATGAGCATATTTTTATAACTTTGGGAACATTTGATGATGTAATGATATCAGTAACCATCCAAACTTATCCACAAAAAAATACGATGGATGGAACATATTAAAAATATGGTAATTACTTTTTGAATTCATTACTTATTTTCCAGCGTAAAAAGGATAATTTTATGAATAGGTACTAGACCAAAATTGGAAATGGTCAACCCCAATTAGTATAATTTAAATATCCATTCGAATGTGTCGGTAGTGCGATTAAAATAAGAAATACGTTTTTACTTTCAGAGTATCGTTCCTAACCACTTAAGTATTAAATGCGATTCAGAATATTTGAATTGCCTATTTTTTCGTAAATTGGATACATAAATAATATCAAGCACTAAATGGCCATCGGTCAGGCACAAATTATGTTTATTCATCTATAAAAATGTCACCATCAACAATATTGCCCATCCAATTTCTGTATATAAAGAAATGAGCAACATATGTTTTGAATAAATATAACATAAAAACTGTTTTGTACTGTATATTTTATGGGCAGGGCTCCATAAATCACAGCTTTCTGACCAAGGCTTCGAGGGTAGATAAAGCTTTGTCCGCTATGGCGTACGCACGAACATAAAATACCTTATAACACCGTCCTTTTGTTTACGATAAAAATATGGATTAAATTTTGTGCCGAAAAATAGTGATCGAGTTTTTATATTCCATGATAATGACTTGCAGTACANAGGCCCGGGAGGAGGGCGCCCCTCAGCACCCAGTCGTACCCGATATTCCACAAGAGGGGGCCGAGAACCGACCCCTGTGGAACACCACGCACGACCGGAAAGCGATGAAGGGTCCCACCGTACCCGGTACATACGACCGACCTGGCCCCCAAATAGGACCCAACCAGCCGGCGGAGGTAGAGGGGCACTCCATGCCTCTGCAGTGCCCCCCCTATCACGGTCCAGGGCAGAGTGTTAAATGCGTTGGCGATGTCAAGAGACACCGCCAGCGCCACCCCACCCCGAGAGACGGCCTCGTCCGAGAGGGACCGCACGCGAAGAATTGCATCCACGGTCGAACGGCCCTCCCGGGGGGTGTGCCCTAACAGCATCTTGAAGACATTAGCAGGCCGCTATGACTGTCAGTACTTGAACTATTGTACCACTTGCGGACTATCAAAAATAATAATAGCCTCTTAGGTAAATAAATATATTAATAAGGTAGAATTTGTAAATAGTGCTTAGAAAAAATATTATAATCTTAGTTATTAAGGCCTACTGGTTTGTTATTATTCTTTGTTTATTTCCTTTTTCTTTTATGTTCTTTTTATTGAATTATTATTATTTAATAAATAAATGTATTATTATTATTATTAATCTCAAAGTGGGTGATGTTGTTTACGTTATGTTGCGATACTTATTGACTTCCATACCCACATGACATTCGCCTAAAACAAGCAATTTAAAAAACACGGACCTCGAATACCAAATGCCATATCAATCTTCTATCTATATACATATATAAAAATGAATTGCTGTTCGTTAGTCTCGCTAAAACTCGAGAACCGCTGGACCGATTTGGCTAATTTTGGTCTTGAATTATTTGTGAAAGTCCAGAGAAGGCTTAAAAGGTAAATAAATATGAAAATGCTCGGAATGAAATAAAAATAACAATTTTGTTTTTCCTTTGACGTGTCCCCCTGTCGGACGGATTCCTTTTGTTTGTTTTAAGTTTATTTTATACAAAAGTTTAGATCTTTTATTTATCGATTGAGGTACTACGAAGTCTGCCGGGTCAGCTAGTATATATATATATGTAAATGAATTGCTGTTCGTTAGTCACGCTAAAACTCGAAGGTGAATTATTTGTGGAAGTCCAGAGAAGGTTTAAAGGTAGATAAAAATATGATTCTTTGACGTGTCACCCGTCGGACGGATTCGATATCGATTGAGGCACTACGAAGTCTGCCGGGTCAGCTAGTTTACAAATAAAAACTCCGACTTTCGCCAACGTATCGTGCTTAGTACAGTGATCCAAATCGCAATTTAAATCAAGAGGTCATTTACCTGGGCGGGCGGCGGCTGGCGATCGCGCCGCTGAGTGTAGGCGCGGGTTGAGCTCGCGCACCCCTAGGCAACGACGCGTGCACGCACTGCGCACCGCCGCCCCACATCCCTCTCTTTGATTTCACTGCAACAAAGAACGACGTACTTTACCATTACTAATACCACCTCCACAGACATACACATACACATACACATACAGAACAACTGCATAGTATTAAATCGGTAATCCATCGGTTTCAATCACGGAATAGATAAATAAGGTCTATTCCATGGTTTCAATCTTGTTATTTGAATTTTTAAACTGTACGGGCCATCTCGCACATCATATTGCACACCGATGCATTTTACATCAAAGCCATCAAGCAAGGCGTCGCGTACTCGCATAATGTAATTTTTATCATATAAACAGCCGACAAGTTTAGTGTAAGCATATCAATAAACAATTACTCAATATTGGAGTTGTTATCATTATCACAACAGAGGGTTGTGTAGACAAGACAGTGGAATGACAGTATCATTTGTTTTTTTTCCGTAATAGGCAAATGTGGTAAATGCCAAGCATATGCATATAACTAAGCAGTAGCCGGTGGCTGTAGAAGTTATTTACCAGAAACATAGGCGCTGTTTACAGCGTAAAATAAATAACCTAATTTGTTTCGTAGTATTTTCTTAGATGTACATAGGTCACTGGCATCCTCGAAACTTAAGCATACCTTTAATCATTATGAAATCATTTGATTTTTTTGGGTACGGCCTGTTTTTCTTGTGTTAGGCCTTTATGCTATATTTGTGATTGGACTAAAGTTCAAGAACCTTTCTTTCTCTGTTTAAAATGTTTTTATTTTTTTCATAGACGAGTGAAGGACTTCACGGCGCAGCTGCTACAGTGTGTTACTACTGCTATAGCCCGCGTATACTACAACAAGGTTGACATCCATCTTAAGAAGTCTAGATTGTATTGTATATTACTGGTGGCAGAACGTGTTGTTAGTCCGCACGGGTAGGTACCACCACCCTGCCCATTTCTGCCGTGAAGCAGTAATGCGTTTCCGTTTGATGGGTGGGGAAGCCGTTGTACTGTTCAAACTGAGACCTTACAACTCGTGTCTCGAGGTGGATGACCGCATTTCCGTTGTAGATGTCTATGGGCCCCGGTAACACCAGGTGGGCCGTGAACTCGTCCATTCATGTAAGCAATAAAGAAAACTCGTGTGGCACTCGGGGACTGCCGCGGTAAAGCTATTGTATAGCATTTTTTATCAACTTATGCAATTATAATTAGACAATAATAATTTAATATTAAAACTACAATAAAATAAGACCACACTATATTTATACAGATTAACAAAAGCAAAACATTAACTGTCCCCTTCACATTCATAAGCTAGACCGCGCGAGAGAGAGATGGGCAGACTTTTCATGATGCGCATGCAGTGCGACGTCACGCCATGCGCTTATTCACAAACACTACACAAGCGCAACGTGTGAATGTGTTGAACGCGAGCTGCATCATAGGCAGATGGGGGTGTTAGGTTTTATTTTCGTTACGGAATTTCTTGATTCGGTCGCCGCGCTCAAAGCCCGTGATAAAAGGTATGCAATAGCTTAATAAATAAAAAATTTAAACACAAAAAGCGTTCACCGTAACAACAACATACATGATGATGAATATTCCCTTACGGCCTCATACTACATCTAACAAATAGTAAAGTTCTAAACGTGTATTTAAATTGCACTGTGTTGGTTGGTTTGGCACTATTATAATTTGGGTTTCGAAAATTTTCAATTGAAAGAACTTTTTTCTTTCTAACAAAAATTGCATTCTAAAGAATAAAATTTATATAAAAAAATATAAAATTATAACACACAATTCATTATAGTCGTCGAAGCATTAGAGTATATAGCCATAATAAACTTCAATAGCGATTACGAAGTATGTAGGGGCTTTCGTTGGCTCTCGTAAATGCGTTATAAACATCGTATGAACAAATTAGTTAGAAGCGATAACATTGAAACGTGACAAAATCTAACAATGTTCAACGAGAAATAGACTCAAAATAATTGCACATTATTCCTTATATTGTTTGTAAGGGTACACTTGTGAAGAAAATGTCTAGCTTCGGTCGACGAAAAAAATTCTTCGACTTGTGCCAAAAACGATTCCTGAATAGTAATGACCAAAGGGTTTATAGGATAGAATTTGTTTAGGTTTTTCTCTAGATGGAAAATAGATTTTCGCAATGGAACACGAGTTGACTTACAATTCACAATCCCTTTTCAATATTTTTTTTGTTCTGTCTTGTCTATTTATATTTCTATCGAAAATAATCATATTAGTTGGATTGATGGCACCTACGTACAAGCATCTTTATTAACACAAATATCGAATTTAAAACCCAAAATTTAAAAGTATCTAATTGCATTTGATCTTTTAAATTTCATCTTTAACGCTATGATATAAGACCGACATTTATAAACGCAAGTTTACAGTGAATAGTGAAAATCTTTTTAGAGGAATCTTGTCTTTATGTACTTTTAGGTTATTTCAAGTTCACATTTGTTAATCATTAAGTTAAGAGTTGGGGACATTCATATAGTAGGGTAGCTTCGGAAGTCCTACACACTTCGAGTGTCATTTTGGTGTAGTAATATATACAAAGAGGTATATATTGCACATGAGGCCTAAGTCTCAATTTTAAAGGTCCCTGTTCCGTAACATATTAACACGTCGCGGCAGATGGTACCTGATCATCGCAGTCGAAGCCAGTCGAAAAAAATAAATTATAAATGAGTTAATAGCATATTGCATAATTATTATTTATGTGACGATTTTTATTAGTCAACTCTTACCACTAGTCACGCGAATTGCGGTAAGAATTTAGCAAATGAAACTTCATTAAAAAAAAAATACTTATAATTATTAAATGCATAAATACATTTTCCACCTCCAATGACCTAAACCTAAAATTTTCTCTTGAGTCTATTACAAAACTATTCGACTGGGAATTGGAACTAGTCCACTTAGGCAGTCAATCAAAGAAAGCATTGCAAACCAAAGCTTTAAAACAACAAACCAACAGTATTCACCTCCGTGCTTTGTCGCCTTAATTACCAACGTACAAATGCTTTTCATCTCAACGAGATCATTTAATTATCTCTTTGACTCGTAGATTTTAAGATAATGCGTTATTCTCATACCTAAAGAAGTGAACAAGTCATAAGCATAATATTTAGCATATTATGAATAATTAAACTTATAATTAAATTGTTCCACTACAGTGATAGGGATTTCGGTTTGGATATTTGCAAGTGAACGCTTATTAAATCTATCTATATATATAAAAATGAATTGCTGTTCGTTAGTCTAGCTAAAACTAGAGAACGGTTGGACCGATTTGGCTAATTTTGTTCTTTAATTATTTGTGGAAGTCCAGAGAAGGTTTAAAAGGTAGATAAATATAAAAATGCTCGGAAAATAAATAAAAGTAACAATTTTGTTTTCCCTTGGACACATCTTGTCCCCCGTCGGATGGATTCCTTTTGTTTGTTTTAAGTTTATTTTACACAAAAGTTTAGGTCTTTTATTTATCGATTGAGGCACAACGAAGTCTGCCGAGTCAACTAGTCAGGTATAAAATATGCACAATATTTTCAATAGATCAATTCGGTAATACTGCAATACCTGATGTTTCCAGGCAAACTTTGAATCGAGCTGTACAACCAGTAACCGATGACCGCAAAAGAGGCAGCTTTATTGTTTGTATGGCAAACAATCCACGAGCGCTCTTTAGTATTTATTTGCATTTCTCTTTCACGTTGCTGTTTCTTGTTGTATTACAGTAAATTACAGTAAAGCATTTTTAATTGATTATGGGTCATTTTAAAGAAAAAAGTATATTTTGATACTTTAGTAGGTTTTTAAAGTTACTCTTGTCCATATTACCACACACGGGCAAACCTATAAAATATTCATTTTTTTGTTTCATGGTCGAGCTCGCAGTATTTTTTTTTTTGCTTATATAAGAGGATGATCTCACAGCCCACCTGGTGTTAAGTGGTTACTGGAACCCATAGATATCTACAACGTAAATGCGCCACCCACCTTGAGATATACGTTCTAAAATCTCTGTATAGTTACAACGGCTGCCCTACCCTTCAGACCGAAACGTATTACTGCTTCACGGCAGAAATAGGCAGGGTGGTAGTGCCTACCAGCGCGGACTTACAAGACTTCCTACCAGCAGTAATTACGCAAATTATAATTTCGCGGGTTTGATTTTTATTACACGATGTTATTCCTTCACCGTGGAAGTCAATCGTGAAGATTTGTTGCGTACGTATTTCATTAGAAAAATTGGTACCCGCCTGGGTTCGAACATCGGTGCATCGCTCAGCACGAATGCACCGGACGTCTTATCCTTTAGGCCACGACGACTACAAATGATACATACTATTATGCATATACATAATAACTACTAATGGCACGGTTATACCGCGCGGCTTACATTACCTGAGAATACCAGTAATTGCCCAAATTTATAATTTGGATTGGTAAATCGGCATATTACTAATTTAACATTTTTTTTTTAAATATATTATATTTAAATATTTAAAAATACATATTTGTGCATTTCCGTCGTTTCCTCCGCCCTTTCGCAATAAAACCCTTTGTTTCATATCTGTACTGCATTGTGTTGAGGTCTGTCTTTGTTATGTTAATTCTTTTAATACGGACTAAATGTTCCCTAGGGGAATTTCTTTGACTTTTTGTAAAGCTTTGTTTGCTCATTTTTATTAAAACCTTTGTATTACGCTATACGGATTTCCGTTCTAATAAAACATGTCTTTTTAATTAATATTGTTTAAGCCAATGTTACTGATCTTGTTCAAATTGTACTCTAATAATACCTATGTATGTGATTTTTTTTTTTTTTGCTTATATTGTTTATATGTGTGGACGAGCTTACAGCCCACCTGGTGTTAAGTGGTTACTGGAGCCCATGGACATCTACAACGAAAATGCGCCACCCACCTTGAGATATAAGTTCTAAGAGCTCAGTATAGTTACAACGGCTGCCCCACCCTTCAAACCGAAACGCATTACTGC